GCACAGCGCTACTCCTTGGCTCTTAATTACGGTCTTGTGATACCGTAGTTAATGGTCTGTCATGGGCTCCATCAGGAACCTCGACGCTGGCAGGAGGTGGAGCAGCCAACCCGGCCGCTCCCGGTACAGCCACCGAGCCAGAGCGGCTCTGGGCTGGCAACCAGGCTCCAGTTCTTTTGTTACAGCCCCTGCTTCCTCTGGGAACGGCTCGGTGCTTGTGGCAGCCGGGGAGAGGGAGGCAGCCCTGCCTGGACCGCTTGGGAAGGGTCCGGCTGCGCATCCAGGGATTACATCAGACACCAGCCCCTCTGCCCACATTCGCCTCCAGATCTGGGGCATTTCAAGGAGCTCAGGAGGCCTCTGATCTGCCTGCCACGCGCTGCGCTCCCAGTTAATGACAAAAAAAAAAAAAAAAAAAAAAACACAAAAAAAAACCCCAAAAAAAACAAAGGAAAAAGCAAAACAACCCCTCCCTGCCCGGCAGCTCGGCGCTGGGGTGACAAAAAAAAAAAAAAAAAAAAACAAAGGAGAAAGCAAAACAACCCCTCGGCGCTGGGGTGACGGCCCCCGGGGGTCCCCGCGGGATGCGGGTGACAGCAATGCCGGGGGGAGGTGACAGCGATCGGGCTGTGACAGCGATGGGGGTCCTGCGGCCCGGTTCCCCCGGCCGCTCTTACCGTTGCTGTAGGCGTAGGGGGACTCGGAGGCGCCGTCCTGCAGGCTCTCCAGGATCTCCCCCTTCCCCACGTCGCTGTCGCCCACCAGCAGGAACTTGAGCAGGTAATCGTAGCTCTTCACCGGGCTGCCCTGGGTGCCCATCCTGCCTCTCATCGGCGGGGCGGCCCGGCCCGCATCCTCCGCCCGCCAGCCTCGGGCTGCGGCCTCTGCCCCGCCGCCGCTCACCGCCGGCCGCGCATCTTCCGCCGGGGCCGCGCTGGGACCTGCGGCGGACGAGGAGGAGGAGAAGGAGGAGGAAGGGCCCGGCCCGGCCCGGCCCCGCAGCGCCCCCGCCGCTGACACGGCTCCGCTCCGCCCTCCCACTCGCACAAAGCGCCGCCGCCCCGCCGGGCCCCGAGCCCGCTCCGCCCCGGCGGTGCCTCGGCTCCGCTCTCGCCGCTCCCATAGGCTAAACCGCGCGTCAATCAGAGACGTCCCCGCCTTCCCCGCAAACCCGCCACTTCCATAGGCTCAATCACACGTCAATCAGAGGCGCCCCGCCCCGACGCGCCCCGGAGAGCTCAGGGGGCAGGACCAGCGGACGGCTGGGCGGCTGAGGACTACAGCTCCCGGCGTGCCTTGCGGGAAGCGGGGCATGATGGGACAGCGAGTCGGGCGGGGGAGCGCCCGATGGGGGAGAGGAACCGGGATTGGGGATCGGGATTGGGGATTGGGGATCGGGATTGGGGATAGGGGATCGGGATTGGGGATTGGGGATCGGGATTGGGGATTGGGGATCGGGATTGGGGATCGGGATCGGGGATTGGGGATTGGGGATCGGGATTGGGGATCGGGATTGGGATTGGGGATCGGGGATCGGGATTGGGGATTGGGGATCGGGATTGGGGAGCGGGATTGGGATTGGGATTGGGGAGCGGGATCGGGACTGAGGATCGGGATCGGGATTGGGGATCGGGATTGGGGATCGGGATTGGGGATCGGAATTGGGGAGCGGGACTGGGGAGCGGGACTGGGGAGTGGGGATTGGGATTGGGGGACAGGGATTGGGATTGGGGATCGGGATTGGGGATCGGGATTGGGGATCGGGATTGGGGATCAGGATTGGGGAGCGGGATTGGGGATCGGGATCGGGATTGGGATTGGGGAGCGGGACTGGGGAGTGGGGATCGGGATTGGGGGACAGGGATTGGGGAATATCCGTGTGTGCGGGGCGCCCAGGTGTCATCCAGGAAGGGAGGGCATCCAGATGTGAGCTGAGCATCCAGGTGGGAGGGGCACACAGATGGGGTGCATCCAGATGTGTGGGGCATCCAAGAAGAGGTGGCACCCAGGATTTGGGGACATCCAGGTGTGAGAGACGTCCGGGTGGGAGGGCATACGGGTGTCTTCCTCCAGATATGGGGTGGGCATCCAGAGAGAGGAGTGCCCACAATCTGGGGGCATCCAGGTGGGTGAGCATCCATTTTATGGCAGGCAGGGGGTCCTTGGGGCGGGAGGTGTGTGCACCCCCTTGTCAGTGGGGCAGGGGGCAGCCATGGTGACATCCAGCATGTCCCCAGGGAATGGGGATGGCAGTGGGGCTGTGGGTGCCAGGACTCCTGCATGTTCTCCACTGGAACCCCTTGGCATTGGCCTGACATCCCAGAGGAACCACTCCCAAACCCAATCCCAGGGGATTCCCAGTGGGAATGTGGAGGATCCTCTCCCTGCCATCATTGCTGACAAATCCCTATACTGAACAAAGCACCCTGCACCTCTTTCCAGAGCTGGGCATTTCTCCAGCCACGTTCCCAGGCTGCTGCTTCCAGTGAATCCCATTCCAATGGCCCACGTGCCCCAGGCCTGCCAGCAGCACACACACCCCTCAGCCTGCGAGGATCCTGCAGCTCCTCGAGGAGTTCTGAAGGACTGAAGGGCAGGGCAGGGTCACTCATGGATGGACAGGGAGAGGGGATGGATTGAGGGGGATGTTTTCATAGTCACAGAATGGTTTGTATTGAAGGGGACCTCAAAGCCCATCCAGTGCCACCCCTGCCATGGCAGGGACACCTTCCACTGTCCCAGGCTGCTCCAAGCCCTGCCCAGCCTGGCCTTGGGCACTGCCAGGGATCCAGGGGCAGCCACAGCTGCTCTGGGCACCCTGTGCCAGGGCCTGCCCACCCTCACAGGGAACAATTCCTAATTCCCAATATCCCATCCAGCCCTGCCCTCTGGCAGTGGGAGCCATTCCCTGTGTCCTGTCCCTCCATGCCTTGTCCCCAGTCCCTCTGCAGCTCTCCTGGAGCCCCTTCAGGCCCTGGCAGGGGCTCTGAGGTGTCCCTGGAGCCTTCTCCTCTCCAGGTGAGCCCCCCCAGCTCTGCCAGCCTGGCTCCAGAGCAGAGGGGCTCCAGCCCTGGAGTATCTCTGTGGCCTCCCTGGACTCTCCAGAGCTGTTCCCTCCACACTCACAGGGAGGGGGCTGTCCTCTCCTCAGTGGTTTCAGCCTGGCTCCCTCTCCTGTCCCACAGCCTGAGGGCTCGAGCTCCTGTGCTGCCCTGGAGCCACGAGCTCTGGATTCCTTTGGAGCCTGTTCTGGTGAGGGGTTTGTGACCTGTGGGCCAAGGGGATTCTCACCCTCAGCTGCTCAGTTTGGCTTCTCCACTGGCAGGGCCCAAACAAGCCTGCCCTCTGTGCCCCCTCCCAGCTCCCAAGGCTGCTGCCAAGCACAGGGAGAGCACTGACAGAGGAAAACAAAAGGGCAGCTAAAGCAAACCCAAAGAGCAAATGTCCTCTTGTCCATTCCTGGCCACTGCATTCCCAGAGTGAAGGGGCTTGGAAGGTAAAGCCTGTGGAGAAACATCCACCCAGGGCACAGCCTGGGGAGCAGAGCAGGGCAAGGACAGAGGGGGGACTGGGGATGTTTGTTTTCTCCAGGAGGAGAGAAAAGCTTCATTTCTGTCCAACAGTCTGCTGGATTCACAGCAGTGCAAGTGGACAGGAGGAGGATGTGCAGGAATCTCCTCAATTTTATCTCTCTTTTCTCAGCCTCTGGGTCTCAGTCCTGCAGCTCCACAGGGCCAGCCAAAGCCCTCACTCATCTCACTCATTCCAGGGATTTCTCTTGTCTTTGGTGGGATGGTGGAAACCAAACAGAGTCCAGACAGGTGGGAATTGCTGCAAGAGGTGGGAGGCAGAGGGAGAGGGGCAATCCTGGCAGAGGCTCCTGGCAGAGGGGTGGCCTTGGCAGGGCTTGCTGCAATGTGGGGACTTTGTCACAGCCGTGCTTTCAGCTGGGAGAGGGAAAAGGAGAACAGGATGGAATTCAAGGCAGTGGCTGCTCTGCTGTGAGGAGGGAAGGAGTGGCCAGAAGGACCCGTCACTCCCAGGCCCAGCTTAGGCTGCTGCTGGATTGTGCTGTGCTGCAGAGGATTGTCCCCTGTCCTGCCCCCTCACACCGAACACACGACATGGGCAGGCCCATGTGACACCAAGGAACCCCTCTGAACCACAGAACACCCAGAGCTGGAGGAGCATCACTCCATCTCCCAGGCCTGAGCTGGCATTCATTGGATCCTCCTTGCACAAGCTTTGTGGTTTGGCCTTGGCAGAACAAGTAGAGCTGGACAAATGCTGAAATACCCGTGTGTGAGAGCAGAGGTTTGGGAGGTGCCCAGGCAGGCCCTGGGATGGGGATGAACACCTGCCTGGAGCAGCTGAGCCGCCCTGCCCGTCCCTGTGCTGCTGACAGCCATGCTGTGCTCAGCAGCAAGTCAAACTAGAGGTAAGGGCTGGATTTCCCCCCCAACATCTTTATTCTGGAGTAATCAAGATCCACGTAAGTTCTGATTAAAAGGTTGAATTAAGGAATAAAACCTATCAGTAGAAAAAAGCTCTCCATCCCTAAACTTGCACACAAGCAGTGGAATGTGCAGCATGCCTCAGCCCTGCTGCAGCTGGCACTGCTGGCATTGTCACTGTCCTGCTGTGCATTGCTCTGCCCAGCACTCCTGCCCGCAGGACTGGAGCTGTGATGAGCCTGAAGCCAGTGTGGATCCTGAGCCAGGTCTTGTTCCTGCACTGGTGCACGGGACTGGCCTGTGTTTCACATCACCAGGCTGCTTTTCACATCAGGACTGCAGTGGGAAGGAAGTCACCTTCAGCTGGGGTTAGTGGTGACATTTCAAACAAACACTGTGTCACTGCTGTGGGAGCACTTTGCTCCTGCTGAACGCCTGGTGGCTCACGTGAGGGAAGGAGAAATGCACAGTGGCTTTCAACTTCCTTGCCAAACCTCACTCACAAACACTCACACACTTTTAATGAAACTCTCAATGAGTCAGTGCTCTTTTATAATACTTTACTCAAAACCAGAAAACACTGTGAGGAGGATTGATTACAAGAACTGTGAAGTTCTCACGAACTTCCCCAGTGACACATGTTAAATAACAGTGGATGGCAGAGGAGCTGCAGCCTGTCCCTGCCCTGAGCTGGCCTGGGTTCTGCAGCTTCCCCCAAACACCTCCACTGCTCCCAGCCCCAGTACCTGCCTGGGAATGCAGGGGGGTGTCCTGTCACCTGCAGCACTCATCAGTGCAGGAACACTCCTCATATTTAGCTTGCTGAGATGGTAAATGGGGAGTCTGAGCTGTCCTGGTTTGAGGCCCAGGCGTGGCTAAGGGCTGGAGGAAAAGGTGACAGACTCTTGCAGCAACCCCAAATGCAAAATGGTGAGCCAGAGGCAAAGGTGGTGGGCACGCAGTTGTCATGCAGGAAGGCAGATCAGCTGCCCACATGGGGCTTGCATTGCTCTGAACATGTTTACCCTGCACCCAAAACTCCCAATCCAGCTGGGAAGCCCTGTGGCCTCCTGTCATGTGGAAGATCAGCTGAGATCCAGACCCAGCACACTCACCCTGCAGAGCCCCAGGGCTCCACACTGGGGCTGTTCCCTGACCCTGCAGGCCTGGACACTGCCAGGTTTGGGGTGCTGCTCCCACTGTGAGCTCAGCACAGGCAGGAGCGTGGCTGGAGAGAAAGGGCTCTCTGCTACCAAGTCCAGAAAAGAACCAAGGAGCAGGTCAGGGATCTGAGTCAATGCACAGGCAATCCCCCCTCACCAAGGCTTTATCCCCCAAAAGGCAAAGGGGCTGCTGAGCAGTGCCTGAAAGGGGGGAACAGGAGCAGAGATGACACAGGACTGCTGATGTTCACATCCACTGAGGCAATCTGAGTCAGGGTGTCGCTGAGCTCTGCACAACACAAGGACAAGGGTCATGAACTGAAACACATCAAACCCTGCCTGAGAGCAGGGAACACCTTTTCACTGTGGGGGTGAGCAAACACTGGCACAGGCTGTCCAGGGAGGGGTTGGAATTGCCATCCTTGGAGATATCCCAAAGCCATCTGGACACGGTCCTGGGCAACCAGCCTTGGGTGGCCCTGCATGAGCAGGGGCTGGACCAGAGGATCACAACCTCCAGCAGCTTCCTGTGACCATGTGACCAGCAGGTCTAAGCATAAAGGCTAAATCACTGAGGGATAGGGTTAAGCAAGAAAATGGTGTTGGAGCAGCAGGAAGAGGCAGCACAGGGCAGAAGGAAAGCAGCTCATTCTCTGCAGGGTGAAATGCAGATTTTCCTTACACTGCTGGAAGTCAACATATGGATTGTATATTTTGCAACAGTCTTTGTGCAGGCCTGAACAGGGCACAGTCCAGCTGCAGCATCAGGGAAAACTCCCAAACCCATAACCAGAGCTTTCAGTGCAGTGTAATTACTGAGGTTTCCTTTCAGCATCATCCCCCCTGGTTAGGGGAAGAAAGTATTTCTCCAAGGCAGAATTTCTTTTCAGGATAGAGTTTTTCACACAGTGAATCACATTTTCCTTCACAAACCCCCTGCCTAAGTAAAGAAGGGGTTTGTAGCAGCACTGGGAACCGAAAGGTGGGAGAAATAATAATAAGAAAATGCATTAAATGTATTAAAAAAAGCCCGTAAGATTAGAGTCTTTGACTGATGGCTGGCAAAGCCTGCTTGCTGCCTGCTATAAGGGGTGCGTGGCAGGAATGGGAGATCTGGAATTTTTAACTACTTCTCATCCAAGGGATGCTCTGGATAATATGGATCTGAGGATAAATCAGAGCAAGAGCCTTACCAGCAGCCTCTTCCCTGAGGAAATGCCAGCACTGGGCCAGTCTGTGCTGCCGTGGAAGATGAGGCTGATCCTAACTTCTAATTAGAGAGATGACATAAGGTCAAGTGCTCTTGAGCAGGATGTCTGCTACACTGTTGTAATGTCTCTGCACAGAGTCGGAAAGGGTGGGGGAAGACTCTTTCAGCAGGGACTGGAAAGGAAGAGGAGAGACGTGGCAAACATCCAGCAGAAGCAACTCAGATGCTCAGATACCATTGCAGGCAAGGAGAACACCCAGTGCAAGGAGCAGAGAGGCAGCTCAGGCACCAGCTCTGGGCGACACACAACTGCAAGCACAAGGAGCTGCCACTGCCCAGCTGGGCTGCTCAAGGTTCTCTGAGAGTCAGGATCTCAGGTTTGAGGAGGAGGTTTTTCTTGGTTTGGTATTTCCCCACCCCAGAGTCAGTATCAGCCTTTAGTAAACAAACCCAACACTGGAACATCTGATACATCTGGCAGGTTCCCAGTAGGAAGGTCACAGCTGCTGGTTTTTGTGGCTCTGTGCTCTCACTGGGGCTATCGTGGCATTTGAACCCCAAGGATGACCAGGACCATCATGACCTGTCCGGTCCCACAGAAAGATTTAAAAGCCAGGATATTAGAAACATTACTTTCACAAGATCAAAAATAACAAAGTTTCTCAGAGCAGTCAGCAAACTGAACTGTGCAGGCGTGGGAGGAACCAGGGGATATCATTTAGGAGCTCCACGGGAGAGATGAGAAGGAGGTAAGGTGTAAACTGCTCTGCTCAGTGCCAGGTGAGGATGGGGCTCATGACTCTGACTTCAGCTGAAGAGAAAATGTTATTTAGACAATTCATCCACTAAATGCATCACAGCCTGCAGTTATTCCCACCTGGAGTGCAGAGAATTCCTCAGGTAGTGATCATTCCAAGACAAGAAGATACTGCACAGGAGTTTTAAGCACAGATCATCAAAGAACAAGCTCTCTGCAGTTTCTGCAGGCAGGGATGTTCCAGCCAGAGCCTCAATGGCAGATGGTGAGGGGAGCTTTGCCACACTGGCTTTCCCCAGTGATTTGCCCTGGCTCAGGGTGAGCAGTGTAGTGCCCATGTAGTCCTGCCTCCCTTTCCTAAGAAACCTCAAAGGCCTTGGAGCTTTGCCTGCTAAGGAATGTCTGGACCATGCACCTGCCTGCAGAACTTCCTTTTCTCCTGCTCAGGCTATGCCTGTAGAGGCAGTGACTGCACCATGAGGGGCTTTCAGCAGCTCCAGACAACCCAAATACATCTGGCCAGGGATGTCCTAAAGCAGGGGGGGGCATATCCCTTCTCTTCTGTGACAGCTGCCAGCACATGGATGGGACACAGGGCTGGGGTAGGAAACTCTGACCCTCTTGCTGGCAGTGCTGACTGAAGGCTCCTAAAGCCCCAGAGCACCTTGCCCTGCCAATGCCCACTGGTGCACAGAGGCAGCCATCCAGAGAAGGGCTGGGCACTGCAGCCACTGCACTTTCTCCTCTTCCTCCATCCCTGGGTCCTTGGGCAGCCAGGGGAAAAGGGGCAGGATCCAGCAGAGCCCTCATGTGCCAGTGCAAAAAGCAGGGTACAGTGACACTGACTCCTCGTTTGAGTTGGGGCAGAGGAATGAGCAGAGCTGGAGGAAGTGTATTTTGGGTAAGGACTGTTTAAATTTGGCACAACCACTGCATGCCCCATGGGACACCCTCCAGTGCACAGGCACCCTTTCCAAGAGAGAGAATAGGAGACACATCAAAATGAGACCAGAACATGAAAAGCCAAGCACTCATGCACTTTGGAAATGTATCCAAAGCAAACTACTCTCCTAAGAGAAATCACAAATCATGATAAAACACTTTGTGCTTCTGAGCCTCCAGCCTTGGTCTTCCAACACCTCTGGTACTGCAGTGAGGGTGAGTGCAAGCCCTCCTCAAAAGAAATTAATAAATATCCCATGAACTCAGACACCCAGCTGCTCAGTTTTCAGTGCAGGACTCCAGGACCTGATTCTCCACATGGTTTTGATCAGCTGGCTTGAGGGCTGAAGCATAAAAGATCCAAAACATGCTCTGGCTGAAGGCACCACAGCATTGTGGCTCCAAACCACGTAAGGGGTTGATCTGCTATGGCCCTGTGAGCTGACAGGGAAGGAGAAATTCATCACCAAAACATTTGGGAGCTGCTCCCTCCACGACACTGAGTGCTGGTTTCATGAGGCACTGATGGGTTTAACCTTTTGCTTCCAAAATAATCATTAGCATAATATACAAACACAGTGTAGGGGAAGAGAAAAATAATATTTAAAAATACTTGCCTTTAAAAATTCAGCCCTTCCTATGTTACCAAAATCTATTTAAAGGGATGGAGCAGTTGCTGGCTCTGAGCAGCCTTTGGTCCCAAAGCATTAGGAGTCAGTGTGTTTTTCAGATCAAGTTTCTAAGTTCTTCCACTGTCTTTAGTTCTGCTTGTCTCCTTTGTGTTTCCAAGGGTAGATGAGCTCTCCAAGGAACAGTTTCTTGCAGAGAGATGCCCAGGAGTCCCTGGGATAGCAGCTGTAGGTGGGCAGTCTGTACGTCTGGACCACAGCTCCGTAGGAGAGGGGGTTGATCTGTGTGGAGGAAGAGGGACAGCAGCAAGGGAAGCATCAGTCCTGCTCCTCACACAGCACAGAATCCCTCCCTGGCTTGCTAAGGCTGTTTATCCTTCTCCAACATCCCCCAGCATTAACCAATTGCTTGGCAAGGGGTGTTTCTAGAATCATTCCCAAGCAGAGGGGCAGCCAAGAACCAGCATGAGAGCTGGGAGAAAGAGAGGGGAGTGTGTTACACACCAGAGTGCAGGGGACAGTGGCAGGAGAGAGAGCAGACAGCAACAGAATCACAGAGCCATGGAATTTTTTAGTTTGGAAAAGACCTTAAAGATCATTATGCCCAACCCTTAACCCAGCACTGCCAAAGGCACCACTAAGCCATGTCCCCAAATGCCACACCCACACTGCTTGTGAACATCTCCAGGGATGGTGATTCCACCACTGCCCTGGGCAGCTGTGCCAGCGTCTCACCACCCTTCTCGTGAAGAAATGTTTCCCAATATCTAATTTAAATCTACATCTAGTACTGCACTGGGGATGCACTGGGACTCCAGGAACTCCTCTGGAATTTAGCTGTACCTGTTAAGAGCCTCAGCCCACAGATGTGTGTGAAGTTAAACCTGGTATCACCTGAAACCACCCAGTGGAACCAAGTCCCAGCATGACAGGATCACACCATAGAGCTCCTCATTATCATTTTCAATTAAGTCTTCTTGGCTGAGTTAATCTTTTTTAATTTGACTTCAATCACCACCCCAAGTCTGTGCCTACAAAAGTTCTGTCCATGGTCCCCAGTTGCTGCATTGACCTTCTGAAGACAGGGATATGAACAGACACATTTACTGTACAAGGGGTGATAGAGGCATGTCAGACCTTTGAAATGCTCATCCCAGTGAAGCAATCAGGGTAGGAAGACAGGTGAAGTCCACAGGATGGACCCAGTGTGGCATGAAAAGGATGCACAGCACAGCCTCCAAAGGACCAAAAAAGATGGCACAGAAATGATGGGGCTCAGACCATGAGAGATGCCCAGGGGTGGGGGTTTCCAGAGGCAGGGAAAGCTTGGTCAGTGGAGAGAAATGGAAGGACATCCTTCCCTAGCAAAAGGGTTCAGCTCTGCTGGAACCAGCCTAGCAGCTCTGGGGAGGGAGACTGCAATTCACAGCACAGAATCCAGCCTCAAAAGGAAAGAGAGACAGCAAACCCATGCACAGAGTCACTACCTGGTAAAAGCTGAATTTTTTTTTTGTCCACTAAAAAGCATCAGGATTTCTGGGGGTCTGCCTGTGCCACCAGCTTGCTTCAGCTGCTTGGAGCTCGTGGAGTGGTGAGGGATGAACCCCGAGTGCCTACAGAGACGGGGCTCTTGGAAAGTGGGATTGAGCTAAGGGTTCATTAGAACTAATCCTGGAGATCTTTGTCAAATTAGTTTCAAAGTACAAGAGTGCTCAAGCAGAAGGGGGAAATGCCCATACACAGAAGCATCTATAGGAAGTTTAGGAAAAAGGCAGGGCAGCTGTTTGCAGGGAAAATTATAAAATAGAATAAACACAGGGGAGGGGGGAAGGCCAAAGAAACCTGTCCCCAGCACTAACAGCTGTAAAACACAAGTAACTATTTCTGCCCATTTCCCCAGCTGTAGGCAAAGCAGAGTGTCTGAAGTGCAAACATGCTGGGCAGGAGGACAGGAACTGCTGCTCTACAAGGGAGAGGCACAGCGTGTGCTGCTTTGGCTATTAGCTGTGTGGGCTGGAAGGTCTGCACACAACATTTCTTGTTGAGAAGCATGAGAAGCATCTCTGGGTGGAGTGGTGACACCCAGGGGTAGCACTGGCCACTGTAACAATCAGGGTTTCTTACAGCCAAAGCAATTCAGGTCCCTGCCTCTACTGGTACAAATGGAGGCAAACAGGAAAAACTCATTATTAGTGAAGAGGCAATATTTGTTCCCCTTATGAAAGTTCTGTAGGTCAAATCTGTAATAAACCCTGCTAGAATACCCATCCTAATGGAGCTGTTCCCTTTTCCCTTTCTCTGCTGTTCAACCCTTTCCAAAGCAATTGCTGGAGAAGATGAGACTTTCAGCAGAAGGTACATGAATGGATCAAACTCATTGTGATCTAGAATCCCAGAATCTCAGACTGTTTGGGTTGGAAGGAACCTTAAAGCCCATCTTGTTGCACCTCTGCCATGGGCAGGGGCACCTCCCACTGTCCCAGGCTGCTCCAAGCCCTGTCCAACCTGGCCTTGGGCACTGCCAGGGATCCAGGGGCAGCCACAGCTGCTCTGGCACCCTGTGCCAGGGCCTGCCCACCCTCTCAGGGAAGAATTTTTTCCTAATATCTACTCCAGACCTGCCCTCCTTCAGCTTAAAGCCAGTTTTCTCCCTAGGCTATCAGTTCAGTTGTGCCACACTGCCAGAAATATTTCTTCTTGTGCACCAAAAGAAATTACTTTAAACACTAATGAAAATACTGACCTATGTAAGACTTCCTGAAGAATATTAAGTAGCATTTGAAATGGAAATGTCATCCCCCATCCTCTGCCCCCCTCCAGGGTCTGGACTTTGTATTCCAGAGGCACTACCTTAAAAATCAAAAATAATCCCTTGGCTGAATGAGGAGCTGGTTGGGAATGCTCAAACCCAGCATTATTGATTTCCAATCCATTCCCAGTGCCCCACAGGACAGCTCAGACTATCACCTACAGCTGCAATTATTATGGCTGTAGATCCATGATTCCAGCCTGACTTCCACCAGGCACTGCTCCAAGAGGGCTTCCACATAGAGATGGGGCAAAGCCACTGCAGATTCTCAAGAGAGGCACATCACTGTGTACAACAAATAAGAATTTCACTTAAAAATAGGTTTTTTAGATTACCCTCTCCAAAGGCTATCAGAAAGTGGGATATTCAGCAGGATTTCTGACACAAGCCCATTTTTCATTTCCACCAGCACAAAGAGAGCCAAAAAAGTGCCTTTTCTGACTGTCTGCTCATTACTATTGGAACTGAGAGCTGGGACAGACATCTACAGCAGCACTTCCACCTCTTGAGGTGATGACTTGTGCTATATTCCAGATAGAAAATGGATCTTCCTGCAGTGGTCCAAGGAAAATTCATCACAGTCATATGACTCACTGCCTTTGCTCTTTAAGTCATGGTCTTTTCTCTCTGCAGACTCCATCCACCTCATCTCTCACACACACTGATGCCAAAGCCTCTGCTCCTATGCAGCTCCTATGCTTCATCTCTGGTGCCTGGTTTTCTTTTCCTGGAATCTCCTGGCTACAGAGGATGGCAGATTTTGGTTCTTACACCACTATCCTACTGAAAGGCAGGAGCTGGGGAAGACAGCTTGCTTAGAGAATGCTAGTTCTGCCCTAGAAGACATCTGTAGAAGGGATTCCCTCTGGAATTGCTACTAGCTGGTTTGCTGGTTCCCTGCTAGCCTGACCTTTGCTGAAATAGGGTGGGACTGGTGATGGAAAAAGCAAAAGGACTGGCAAGCTGCAGTTAAATCCTTCCCACACACTCCCCCAGTGTCCAAGTGCTTTCATAAGTGTTATACACTACTGGCAGCCTCCCCTCTTTAGGATGCAGAGAACAAGAAAAGCCTCCCTGGAACATGGGCTGTGTTCCTGCTGGGTCAGGAGATGGAAATTTCACTCCTGAAAGTGTAAGGAGAACTTCCCTGCTGCCAACACTTCATTTCTTTTCAGAAGATAATTTCCTTTAGTATCTTTTGATGCCAGAGCGTGGGAATGGGGGGTTACAAAAGCACAGGTAAGCTATGCCCATACTCCTCACCAGGGCAACTTTCCTCCCTCATCTTGCCCAGGCTGTGGTCCTGCTGGCCTCATGGAGCAGCCAAGGCTTTCCAGCACCACTGGAGGGGAAGAGCTTTTCCTGCTGCTTCATTCTGGAGGGTTAACTGCCTTCTTTGCTTCTCCCAGTGTTCAGCAATTTATCCCATGAAGCTGCACAGAGCCAGGAGGTGATAATGGCATGAGGTCTTAATCCCAGAAGTAACACAGCTCTGTGCTTCTCCTACTCCCCTTCTACACTTCACACCATCCAGGGCACTGCATTTCCTCCAAACACAGGACACAAACAGGGCATCAAAAAGCACAGAAAGCAGCAGTCAGCCACAGCAACACAAGATTATTTCCCTTGTTTCAGCATTTTACAGCTGATAATGTTGAAGTGGAGCCTTTCAGTGGGAGCAGCACAGATGGACTGGGGTCACTCTGGGAGAAGGCATTGGGGCCTCACCTGCATAAGGAGCCGCAGAGGTTTTCCATCCTGCTGCTCAAGGACTCTGAACTTCACTCCAGCTGCAAAGACACAAAACAAGGAAAGCAAAACCATGGTGGGATTGTTGGAGTGTCCTGTGCAGGGCCAAGAGTTGATGATCCCTGTGGTCCTTTCCCACTCAGGACATTCCATGGTTCAGTGCCTGGAGCACAGACCTTGAATTTGCTGCCCAGTGCTGTTGGCTGAGCACTGATTCCCTAGAAACTGTCTTCAACCTTTCTGGATTTGGGAATGTTCCCCATTTTCAACAGGAAGCATGGATTGTCTCTACAGTGCTTTAAGCCTAATGACACAGCTCCATTAAAAGTAACCCCTCTCAACTTCAGCTGGAAAACTCAGTCCTAGGGCAAGCAAAAGCCTAGAAATCAGCCAGCCAGACATGAGGATGATAGAGGGACTGGAAAAACCTTCCAATTTCCCCAAACTTCCATCAGAATGGGAGCTCCATGTTAGCAGCAGGCAGAGAGCCTGTCTTTAATTTGTGCTCATGCAGACAGAGCACATGTGCAGATCTGTCCCTCTTTCAGGACAAGGGAGGGAAGTGGCTGACCTGGAGGCATTACAACATTTCAAAGCAATCCCTGCCCATTAATCCCAGCAGCCACATGTTTTTAAGAGGCTAACCCCATCAAACCTGCCACTTTCCTATTTCCTCTTGGATTTGCCTCATTGCCAATACTCTAAAGATAAATAGAAAAGATTTTGGATTCTGAGGGTGACACAGTGCACACAGAGATTTAATACAATGTTTCAAAGGTAACAGCTTGGACCAGAGAGGCATTTTTTCTTACAAAGATGTCAAATTACTTCACAGAAATAAAATCACCAATCCATCTCTGCAAACCTGATGCAGCCAAGCATGCCCTGTTATTCTTTCCTGCAGGTAAGAAGATGAGCGAAGACTAAGGCACAGATCAAACACTGACAGGAGCACAAACAGAATAAAACTCCTCACCATTGTGAGTGTAAGTGCCACTGCTGCAGTACCTCTATGACTCTTGAACGCTGAAAAACCAAAATGTTTTCTCTTTTTCCTCAAGCTCTGAATTAATTAAAATCATACAGTTCACTCCTGGGATGGAGTGCTCTTCTCTAGCACAAAGTTCTGGTTTAAACTCTCTCCCTAAATCATTAAACTTTTCTGTCCAGGACAGGAGGGATTTGTCTGCATTTTGCTGGATTATATTGATAGAAGGGCTTCCCCAGTGGCTTGAAATAGATGTTTGAGTACCCTGGGCCTCAACAAGCAAATGTGCTGGATGACCAAAGTGCTCAATGTGATTCATAGAGCTTTGGCTATGAGGAAGTGTCTAAGCCATTCCAGGAACTACTTTTCTGGCAGACTTTGTCAGAGAGAGACAGAAACAAGCAGGCACTGAAGGTTCAGACATGTGGTAAGACTCTGCAGTCTTACCCCAGGAACAGTAATCCATTATCGGAGCAAATGCTGGTTCTGTAGGTCCTGGCCACACATCTCCCTTCTAAAGCTTCAAGCCAACACTTTCTTAATTAGATTATTTAATTGCTCAAGAGTCTTACACTTCTAAGAAAATACAAGCACAAAAAGGCTATAAATTCATTTTAGAATGGCCTGCAGGTGACTGCAGAGCTCAGGACTCTGAGCAGTTCCCTTCTCATGGGAAGAGCAGGAGGGCTCAGGCTCCTGCAGATCACTCCAGCACAGAAGAACCCTGAACTATTCCCCGACTTCCAGCCAGCTCCAGAGCTCAGGGGTCTGCTTTTCCTGTACAAAGGCATCAGCAATGGCACAGGAGAGGTCAGGACATGAATTCATTTGCCTTGTTTCACGTGACAGCACACTCAAGGGAGGATTTGTACTCCAGCAATTGTGGCAGGTGCTACAGGACTATGACAAAATCTGTCCCAACAATTCCACTGTGAATGTTGGGAAAGGGAAGTACAGTAAAAACAAGCTGGCCTGTTCACAATCAAACAATGCTGGTATCCTGTGTGGGCAGTCTGAGAGCCCTGGAACCCCTGCTGGTCCTTTCTTCAGGCTGTGAATCCACATCCCAACCAAGGTGGCACCCCTTGAGCTGGCACTGGGTGCACAGAACTCTTGCACAGAGGACATCAGCTGTGATCTAGATAAGAAAGGTTTTTGGAAGTCAAAAATATTTCACTTTGGACGTGCGGAAAGAAAAAAATGCATTTAGTTTCTGGTGTGTGGATGGATCATTCACCTACCCCTGGCCTGGGCTTCATCAGTGGAGTATTTTGTCAATTCAGACACTGAATCAAAGAACTTGGAGGCCATATGCCACAACTGAACCGAGTTGAACTCAACCCCCTTTCTACCACAAAAACTATCCATTCATGTTGGTAGAACCATCTTGATGGTGCCTGTAGAATCAGCTGCCCTAACACCTGCCAGAGGATGTCTTCTCCAAGTTCTGAGTCTGACAAGGGAGGCAGCACCTCAGCAGTGAGGACACCATGTGATGTGTACTCTCTCAAGTCCTTTGAGTTGGATTCAACTGCTCCATCTGTTCCTGTTGCCATGCCACAGCATTGTGCTGGTGTAGGAACACAGGTTGCAGAAATGCTCAGGTGCCTCTTCCTCTCACAGACACCAGGGCACTGCAGTGCCACTTAAGGAACACAGCTGAGAAGTCAATCCCCTACTCGGGTGGGGGCTTGTTTCCTGCAGCAGAGACCTGGCTGAACAGGAATGAGGAGAAGTAACCTGTGGCCTTACATAACCTAAAGGAATTCATGGTCTTAAACCTCTCAGTGGCACCAGGATTTCCTCCTGCCCTACATCCTGCCCATTGCTGGGTCAGTTTTCTTCAGCAGCATCTCCTGTTCCCCAAAGACAGCCCTGAAGGGTTTAAGATGTTTCTGCCAGGAAATTCACAGGAACCTGCTGAAGGCTTCCATGGAAAATCAACAGAGTTAGTAACAGAGCCCAGCTCTACCTTCCCAAAACTGAGCCTGGCAGTGCTCCAGCAGACAAAGCTGCTGAGGTTGCCTCAAGCTTCCTCTGCCTTTGATGACTGCCTCGGCTTACTGATGATCAAGCTCTTTCTTCTATGCTAAATTTCTGCTGCATGCTCTTTGAAAGGATGGGAGATAATAATTTAGATGTGCTTGACTGTAACTAGACCAACCATAGCTGTGGATGGTCAAAGGCATTCCAAACTGAGTCCTTACTCTGGTGCCAGCCCTGGTTTATGGTTATCCAAAGTGAAAAAACAATGACTGGTTTCAAAATGGTGACAGATTAGTCTCAAAAAGGGAATGATTATCTGAACTCTGCCCAGAGCTTTGAAATTCATCCAAACACCAGGGCTTCAGTCAGTCAAAGTCAGCATAGAACTGAAAGAGCTCCATTGATCTGCAACTACTGCAGATCCAACCCTTTGGAACAGCTGATATTCCAAATATTTTTGTGATTTGGCTTGTTTCAGAGTCCAAACACCCGAAGTTATGAGCTTGTTTCACAGAATCATGGAATATCCTGATTTGGAAAGGACAAGGATCATCCAGCCCAGCTCCTGTCCCTGCACAGACCCCCCAACAATCCCACCCTGGGCATCCCTGAGAGCATTGTCCAAACATTCCTGGAGCTCTGGCAGCCTCGGGGCTGTGCCCATTCCCTGGGGAGCCTGGGCAGTGCCCAGCACCCTCTGGGGGAAGAACCTTTCCTGATACCCAACCTGACCCTGCCCTGGCACAGCTCCACGCCATGTTTGACTCACATAAGTTTTACCTGACCTTGTAGTCTGGAACTGGAATAAAAGTTGACCTCGTTTATATGGTGCTTGTTTGGATGTAATTTTTAGTGGCCAAGGACTTTCTAAAGGTGCTCCTGATTCTGCTTCAGGTTCAGATTTCTTTCCATTGACACCCTCGTCCTGCTCCTTGCAGGAACTGGTTCACAGCAGGGACACCTGCACAACTCAAGCCTCGGGCTCCTTCCTACCCCCACTGCATCCTCAGTTCAGGAGTGACCCAGTGCACCAAAATCAAGCACATAATGCATAAATGCTTGAAGTGCTGCAGGGGCAGAGCTGAGGGACTCACCTGCGAGCCTGTAGGATCTGCAGAGGCGAAGGATGAGGGAATAAAGTGGCAGGGAGTCAATCAGGTCCACCAGCAAGTGTATGAGGCCTTGCACAACCACCACCAGCAACCGGAGCTACAAAAACCAGTTTAACAGAACATCTCAGGAAACAGGAGATTAAACACTTGTCAATTACTGAGCTGAGCTGGGATCTAACACTGCTGTGTGCTAAGCTAAGGCCTCCCAAAGTGGGTGTGATGTCTGGAAGTGCTGAGCATCCAGACCCTGTGTGAGGGTCCTCAGCAATCTGGGTTTTAGGGGTAACTGGAATGAAGCTCCTACAGCTGGAGAAGCTGTGACCAGCAAGGACGTGAGAACTTCCACTTTCAACAGCCACAGTTGAAAAGGAAGCCCAAAATCTCCAACTTTGAGTCTGTGTACCAGTGAATGTAAATTTTCCTCCCTCCAACAATGAGCTGCAACAGCTCATTTCAGCCTGAAGAAACCCCACGTAGAGTTTAAGTAAGAGCAGAGCAGCAGAAATGAGCTTCCTGCTCTGTGTTTTCTGTCCCTGACTAAAGCACCTCCTTTTGTCACACTGCAGCTATTTTCTGCTGCCAATCTCATCTGAAAAGAGAGGGCTCAAAAAAGACGCTGAAAGCATGTGATGGCCACTGTTTGTGGAAAATTTGGCTCCAGGCAGACCACGGAGAGGACTGGTCATATTGGGAGAAGAAAAGAAAAATAAAGAAGTTCAAACCTCTGAGGAAATGAAAACATTGTTGGATGAAAACATTTAATACAGCAAGTTAATTCCCTGGGGAAAAAAAAGTTCTGGATCAGACTAGAGAGGCCATCACCACAGATGTGGACAGAAACATATCAAATCTGAGAGAAAGGGAGGGAAACAGTTTGTCCTGCTGGCCAGGATTTGCTGAGAATTCCCTTTGGAAAAACACTAACATGAGCTGTGTAAGAATCCTTCCTAAGACACCCACATTTTTATTTTCTTTATGGATGACCATAAATGTCTAGGAAACCATTTTTCACTACCTCAGAAGAGAGTGTTTGACTTGTTTCAAGGGTTAAATCTTACCAGGGTAAACACCAAATAATACAGTGCAGTTGTAGGCAGAAGGAACAGCAGGATTGTGAACAGCAAAGTCCCAATAAACAACTAGGGAAAAAGGAAACACAATCATGAGCAGAGCGATGGTAAAATAAAATGCATTACAAATAAAAAATAGGAGACTCTAAGGTAATGGAAGTTTGCAGAACTCCATCAGGTGTTTTTATCTTGCCTATATGAATAATGCTGTTACCTTGGACATTTTCAGTATTTCTCCTCTCACTGGGCCTTCTTCAAAACTCCTTATTATGGGACTACAGTTGGAAAGATAATAGCTGGTTCCTGACAGCACTTTTCCTTTACAGACAACATTCAAGATTTCCCATTTCAGGCCAGCTTCCTTAGGAAACTAGACTTAAGTGATCTTGCAATTTTTCCATTCTCTGTCCCCAAAAGTTTTAGAGCCACTGATCAGATTTTACCGAAAAAATGTGGAAAATAACAAAGAAGTGGTAATTTGAATGGCAATTCTGGAAAGAATTGAGAAGTACTTTTGTTCCTCCTTGTTTTAGCAGTGCAGGCACCTGGCACAAACCTGACAGAATTATTTGTGATAAACATTCCCAGCAGCAACTGGCTGAGCTTCCAGCCACAGGAATTCTGCCTCTTGCTCAGTGGGAAGGTGGGAGAGACAAAGAAGCTGGAGCCGGGGAGCAATATTTAGAGGATGAAAGAGAAAAATCCCTTAAGGAAGTAGGTGTCATTAGCTCCACTGCCCACAGAAAAAGTTATTTTTATTCTGGACCAGCGTAGGTTCGCGTAGGTCTAAATAATTCCAAGTGGGAGAATTCAGATTTATACCAAACAGGTACCTGACTCTTCTATTTCCAGTCACCACTTCCAGAAGAGAGAGCCACAGGAGCACAGGGCACTGCAACCTCCACAAAAAGGGACCACAGCTGTGGGATATCATGAAAGAAAACAACCCAGCAGCCACAGCACGCAGGTGGATCAGCAGCACAGCTTTAGGGATGTAACCAGGAATAGATCACAACCCAATCCGTTCTCCTCACAGTTGTTTCTCCCTTCTCCTGTCAATCCACTGCAGTTGTTTAAACCTCCAAAAGTCTTTTAAGGTCTGCTTTGAATGTCTCTTCCTACCCGTCCAGCGACACAATTCCCACTGGTCTCCAGAGCAGCAGGATGAAGCCTCAAGTGCCAAACCAATTCTCCTCAAAGTACACTGGGAATGAGCCCTGATGCAAACCTGGCACGGAGGATTTTAATCACCAAAGAAACAGAAAACCAGCTCTCAGCTGTGGTGCAGGAAGCTCAAGGTTATCTGTTGTAATAGAGAGAGGCACTGACCCTGCAAGTTTCCAAATATTACTGTATTATTTCAGTGATGTTTGCAGCTGCTGGCCTGCAGCCGTTCAGGCTCTGTGGACTTTTGCATGGCATTTCAGAAATTAAAAAGAGCTTACAGCACTTTACAAAGAACTGCCTCTGCCTGAGTGAGAGTGTGTGGGCCAGGCTCCAGCACAACGTGAATGAAACGGGGCCTTTTAATAGAAACGCTGCCACGGCTGTTACTGTGGCAACACTGCTGGGCACCACATTTCCAACTGCCTCCATCCCTCCCCCATTCCCACTCCAGGCTCGGGAGCTCCCGGCATCTGCAGCACCCAGGGGCACCTGCAGCACCCACCGGCATCTGCAGCACCCACTGCAGCTCGCAGGGTGCCTGGCACGAGCTCAGGGCAGCTCTGCACTTGCCACAGCTTGGCCCTCTGGGGAAGGGAAGGGAAGGGAAGGGAAGGGAAGGGAAGGGAAGGGAAGGACTGCTGCAGGTAAGGAAGGGATGTTGCAGGGCAGGGAAGGAGTCTAAGGCAATGAAGGGGTGCTGCAGGGCAGTCAAGGAGTGCTGTAAGGCAGCAGAGGAGCCATAGGCTCAGAGTGTTGGGGTATGTCCTTGTTCTGGGCGCCACAAAGGCTCCTGTGTCTGTCCCAGTATCAGTCAGAGCAGGAGGGAGGGCATCACCAGGCACTGCCCTGGGGTGTGCCCAGGGCTGTGGCACTACCTGGTCGAGGTCATAGGAGCAGGAATCCACCCGCTGCCGCAGCACATTCCACTTCTTGCCCCGGAACAGGCGCCACAGAGAGGACAGGCCGTAGATCTTCAGGCAGTAGAGCCTGAGCAAAGAGAAGACTCTGCAGCACAGCTGGCAGCTCCCAGCTCCAACATCACCCAGCTGTCACCAGCACAGCCCCACGCCCACTCACCCACCTGCAGAGCCAGGGGTGGCAGGGAGAATGATGCAGATAAATCCTCATGGCTCAGTCAACCCTGTCTGGGCTGGTCCCTGGCACAGGGGCTACTGCAGCCAGCTCTGGGCCACTGGAGGGCAAAGGCCAGGCCATGCCCTGGAGCTGCAGCAGTCACCAGCCTCATGGCAACACCTTCCCTGCAGCAAAAGGGTGCTGAGGCCATGGCACAGGGTGCCCAGAGAAGCTGTGGCTGCCCCTGGATCCCCAGAAGTGGCCAAGGCCATGATGGATGGGATTTGGAGCAACCTGGGATAGTGGAAGGTGTCCCTGCCATGGCAGGAGATGAGCTTTAAGGCCCCTTCCAACCCAAACTTTTCCATGATTCTGTGAGAAGAACCATCAATCCTATTTCCCCTAGCTCATCTGTGTCTCCCTAGCTCAGATCTGTCCCTTCCCCTGCCTTCAGACCCTTCCAGACAGGGCTGGCCAAGGTCTCACCCCCACACCTGAGTCAATGCAATGCAATTGTGAGTGGAGCCCCTGGAGCTTCTCTAGTAACCCACAGCTCTAAAAATCCTTAAGAGTGGGAAGAGACCAGTGAAATGCCAGGTGGCCCCTACTGCACTCCTTTCTTAGGCTTTCAGAACTTGATTATATGAGACTTGGAGCTATTTCCCTCACAGAAAAATGACAACAGTGAGGGAAACTTGGGGTGACAAGGGAGACACCTCTCTATGGAACAACATCAAGGAAGAAAGTGCCCTTGGGATGGAGAGGAGGCACAAAGTGCCCTGGGCAGAAGTGCCAACATACAGGGATGTAAAGAAAGGGTACATGGCCAATGTATGGGGCAGAACAGAGTCTGAGAAAGCCTGAGCTACAAAAGCCAGACTGGTAAACCAGGCTAGCTAAGGTGTGGAGGCTGCTCAGATTTCACAGCAGCAATCTGAAAGCAGAGGCAAGGAGTCTCATCCAAGAGAAGAATCTGGTTTGAGGAACACCAACTGCTTCAAGGAATTCGCAGGGTGCCTCCAAACTGGCAGGCACAGCTTGGTGCACTAATCTCTAGGCAGGAGGGAGCCCAGGACAACTCCACACCTACCCATGGCTCTGACTAAGGCCACGCTCTCCCTGCATCCCCTGGCATGACACCCAGTGGGTGTTGCTGCAGTGGCACCTGCCCCACCTGCCCTGCTGCCTGCATACACATGCCTGCCCTCGTTTCACTCTGTGGTTTGCTCCACAAGGGGATCTCAGGCTTTACCAGCACCTGAACCAGAAAATTCTTCCTCCAGCCAGCTGCAGGAGTGCAAGGGGCTGTGGTGGCTGTGAGTGACTGCTGACTCTTGCTGGCTCTCCATGGGGACAGCACACAGCTGTACACTCTGTACTTCTGACAAACACAGGACAGGTAAGCTGGCTCCCTGGAGCTCCAGGGAAGAGCAATCAGCTAACAAAATGCTTTTCCTACTTCCTATTACCACTCTGCACAAAGAGGATGAGCAAGGCCATTCCTCCCAGACCAGCAGAGAAATTCCAGTAATTAGAGGTGTTGGGAAGAGACCTCCCACTCCTGACATTACTGATTCTGGCTGTAAGACTTATGCTCACAACAGATCCAGCTCATAAATCAGGTCTCAGTATTTCCAACATTCCCTAAACTACCCATATCTAAAGATTTACTATTTCTTGTGCTGTTTCCTATGTAAAGTCTGAGGAGGGATGATGGCCATTCTGTACTTTATAAGGCAAAATGTCCTTCATCTCTTGTATCCTATCTCCCTGGCAAGCACATCCTGTGGCCTGTGGGACTCCTTGGTGCAGCACAAATTAGAGGAAAGCAGGAATAGAGCACAGTGATGGGCACCTCTTGCACAGAAAGCCCAACATGCCCTAGATGTGCCCCAAAGTCCCCTGCACTCCCCCTAATCATTCAGAGCCTCTGCCCAGCTCTCAGGCCATGGGACTCTCCAGGCAATGACACCAGAATTGTGTCACAAGACCCCCTGTAACCCTAAACTGCCACCTGTGCTCCACAGTGCAGGCAAGGACCTCTGAAGCAGGGCAGAGACAGGGATTTTGGGGCTTCTCCAAAACTGCAGGGGTTCCCCTCTCCTCCTCCTCTTCTCCAGTTCCCCGCCAAATCTCTGGCAGGGAGCAATGGAGGACAGTACTAAGAGGCTGGATCAAAGGGATGGGGTGAGCTGCTTTCTTGTCCTCTGCCTGTCATGTAGTTTCATTTTCCCAGGTCACTTCCATAACAGATAAATATCTAAATGGAGCAGAAATGAAAGATGGTTTGCTCGTACTACTGTGGCCATCATTTCTACAAGCTTAAAAGACTGCAAGAAATTACTGTGGGTTAAACTGTGAATTCAGGAGAACTACATCAGGACTAAATGCTTCACCACAGCCTGAGGGGTTTCCAAGCAAAGCCCAGAGAGGGAGGGGGACTCCACATGCCTGCCCTCGTTTCACTCTGTGGTTTGCTCCACAAGGGGATCTCAGGCTTTACCAGCACCTGAACCAGAAAATTCTTCCTCCAGCCAGCTGCAGGAGTGCAAGGGGCTGTGGTGGCTGTGAGTGACTGCTGACTCTTGCTGGCTCTCCATGGGGACAGCACACAGCTGTACACTCTGTACTTCTGACAAACACAGGACAGGTAAGCTGGCTCCCTGGAAGAGCAATCAGCTAACAAAATGCTTTTCCTACTTCCTATTACCACTCTGCACAAAGAGGATGAGCAAGGCCATTCCTCCCAGACCAGCAGAGAAATTCCAGTAATTAGAGGTGTTGGGAAGAGACCTCCCACTCCTGACATTACTGATTCTGGCTGTAAGACTTATGCTCACAACAGATCCAGCTCATAAATCAGGTCTCAGTATTTCCAACCATTCCCTAAACTACCCATATCTAAAGATTTACTATTTCTTGTGCTGTTTCCTATGTAAAGTCTGAGGAGGGATGATGGCCATTCTGTACTTTATAAGGCAAAATGTCCTTCATCTCTTGTATCCTATCTCCCTGGCAAGCACATCCTGTGGCCTGTGGGACTCCTTGGTGCAGCACAAATTAGAGGAAAGCAGGAATAGAGCACAGTGATGGGCACCTCTTGCACAGAAAGCCCAACATGCCCTAGATGTGCCCCAAAGTCCCCTGCACTCCCCCTAATCATTCAGAGCCTCTGCCCAGCTCTCAGGCCATGGGACTCTCCAGGCAATGACACCAGAATTGTGTCACAAGACCCCCTGTAACCCTAAACTGCCACCTGTGCTCCACAGTGCAGGCAAGGACCTCTAAAGCAGGGCAGAGACAGGGATTTTGGGGCTTCTCCAAAACTGCAGGGGTTCCCCTCTCCTCCTCCTCTTCTCCAGTTCCCCACCAAATCTCTGGCAGGGAGCAATGGAGGACAGTACTAAGAGGCTGGATCAAAGGGCCTCTTTGGCAAAGCTGCTTTCTTGTCCTCTGCCTGTCATGTAGTTTCATTTTCCCAGGTCACTTCCATAACAGATAAATATCTAAATGGAGGAGACATGAAAGATGGTTTGCTCGTACTACTGTGGCCATCATTTCTACAAGCTTAAAAGACTGCAAGAAATTACTGTGGGTTAAACTGTGAATTCAGGAGAACTACATCAGGACTAAATGCTTCACCACAGCCTGAGGGGTTTCCAAGCAAAGCCCAGAGAGGGAGGGGGACTCACCTGGCCCCGTAGACATAGAAGCAGTAGATGTGGAAGGTCAGGAGCGCGATGATGTCGGAGAGGATGCAGAGAGCCACGGTCAGGCCCAGACAAGCCGACAGCCCCACGTACCACAGGATCATCTCAATGAAGGGGGACAGCAGGTGGATGTAGCCTGGGGGACATGGCAGAGGGTCAGTGTTCAACTGGGTCATCTGCCTCTTGACCCTCTCAAAAGGCTGATTCCCCTCGCCCTAGAACACTGCTCCAGAAATCAGAGCCATGAAAACATGGAAGTGGAGATGGAAAACTCCTTTAGATGCCACCTCCTCTTCAGGAGGGCCAACAAAAACTCTCCTTCTGGCTAAGTTTCTGCCCCAAGGTGGGGCAGCACTGGGAGGACCAGGAGGAGTGTGCACAGCTTGAACAAAGAAGTCACTTTCCTCCACATGGGATTTTATGGAATTAGCATGGCATGGTCTGTGTTGCAAGGCACCTTAAAGGTAATTTAGTGACACCCCCTTGGCATGGGCAGGGACACCTTCCACCAGACCAGGTTGTTTCAATCCCTACACAATCTGGCCTTGAACACTTCCAGGGATGTAATATTTGATTTTTTACATTTGTGTCCAGGTTCTTAAGTACATTTTTAACTGCACACATCAACCTTTACTACAACCATTCCTGTTTTTCTGCTCTTCCCACAAAAGCCACCTCGTATGGCTTTTGTAAAATAAAGTAGTATGGACAAACAGTCTCTTTCATCACCAAAGTGGGGCATAGTCACAGAAAGAAGACCATACTTGACTGATGAGCAAAGTAAATCAGTAAAATAACTATGGAGTTCATGTCCATCATGCCTGTACTCCTCCATCAAGGATAACAAGAGTGTGTTATTTCAAGGAAGAAACTGAAATAATAAAATTGCATTAAGCTGAAGTTGGTGATAGCACAGGACTAACATTTTTCATCCCTATCCCAAGAGCTGCCTCTCACATGGGAAAAACCATGAAACCCAACAAGAGCGCTCACAGCAGTGCCTTCCCTTGGACACTCACCACCAGTGACACCAAGGAACTAAGCCCCAGCAGCATCCACACTTCTTGCAGAGCATCAATACCAGCACTTTATTTAATATGCATGAATTCCTTGTGTGGGAATCCAACTTTGGCTTCAGTTCCCACAGCAGGAAGACTCCCAGACAAGTCTGTACTTGCAGAAGTGCATTTTGATTCATTACTCACCTCTAGGCAAACATTAAACACTCAGAGGGAAGAGATGAAAAGGGAGGCTGGAAAGTTAAACAATTTCACTTACTGATCCAAAGATGGATGTGATAAAGGAAGAAGCGGCCCAAAACCTGATCCAAGGCTCGGTTCATTTTCAGTCCAGCTGGTGCTCCCATCAGCCACTGCAGCAGGTCCTGCAGCTCTTCAGCCACGTGCTGCAAACACAAGGAAGCCAGGCCATGGAGAGAAAAGACTGCAATCACACTGACCAGGCCCAGTGCACTGTAACTGCTGCCCCCTCAAGTATTCTACCACAACCTTCAAACCAGTGTGAAAAAATCCAAACAACTGCTTTACAGATAACTACTAAATCAGAAATGCACTTTTATTGACTCCTTACTGAGTCAAACACAACAGCTGAGAGGAAGCTGAATTGCTTCAGTGGTCTCTGTGCTGGGATCATGGAACTATGTCACCTCTGGCCACCTCTGGGAGGCTTGCACAGTGGGATTTCTTGGAGTACTGAGGGTTTTGGAAATAGATGGCAAATGCTGGTGCACAAATCCACTTCTGGGGACAGTCAGGTGAAAAGTCAGAGCTGAGTTTGGGGCAGGCTGTTGGGATTTTAAAAGGGGGGAAGAAGGCATCGCACTAATGGGCAAAAAAGAGTTAATTTTTATGAACAATCTGTGTTTGTTTAGAGAAGGGTAGAAAACACAATTACATAAATGTATTTCATGCACATCTCTCTTGATACTTTGTGGTGTACTAGACAATATCCCTGATCTTGCCTATCACTTTCTGCAGGCTTCATGGGTACTCATGGCATCCCAGCAACAAAGCAGCCTTGGAATCACTGATGAAAAACACTCATGGAGGTCCTCCCCACATCACTGAATCAGAAAATCATTATGGTTGGAAAAGCCCTCTAACATCAAGTCCTATGAACCTAATACTGCCAGGTGCACCACTAACCTACATCCCCAGGTATCACACCCACACAGCTTTTTGAACACCTCCAGTGACTCCATCACTGTCCTTGGCAACCTGTGCCAATGCCTGACCACCCTCTTCATAAAGGAATTTTCCCAATATCCAATTTAAACCTTCCCTGATGAGGCATCCCAGCAACAAAGCAGCCTTGGAATCACTGATGAAAAACACTCATGGAGGTCCTCCCCACATCACTGAATCAGAAAATCATTATGGTTGGAAAAGCCCTCTAACATCAAGTCCTATGAACCTAATACTGCCAGGTGCACCACTAACCTACATCCCCAGGTATCACACCCACACAGCTTTTTGAACACCTCCAGTGACTCCACCGCTGTCCTTGGCAACCTGTGCCAATGCCTGACCACCCTCTTCATAAAGGAATTTTCCCAATATCCAATTTAAACCTCCCCTGATGCAACTTGCAGTGGTTTCCTCTTGTCCTGTCCCTTGTTTCCTGGCTGCCCTCTCGTGTCAGGGAGTTGTGCAGAGCCACAAGGTCCCCCCTGAGCCTCCTTTTCTCCAGGCTGAGCCCCTTTCCCAGCTCCCCCAGCCTCTCCTGGTGCTCCAGCCCCTTCCCAGCTCTGTTCCCTTCCCTGGACCTGCTCCAGGCCCATGTGCTGTCACTTCACTGCTGCAGAACAAACCAAATCACAGCTCTGGGCTTGCTCTTCCCTACCTCAAACGTGTGCTCCAGACCCCTCACTGAGGGCTGTTATTCACTATTTCTGGTGATTTCAGCCCAGGCTGGTGTTATTTATTGATTTTCTCTCTCCACTCCACTACTCCACAGTCCCCTTGCAGTTGGGTGATTTTTCTCCTCAGAACTTCACACCTGCCCTGCTCCCCTGAGCTGAAACCATTGCTGAGCTCCAGTTACCAAGCTCTGAGCTGAGGGAGCTGATAACCTTCAGCAAACAGATGGAGAAAATATCTGGAAGAAGTGACCTCTTACACTGTCCCACATGGACAGAGATTGTGAGGAAAAGCCCTCTTTCTCCAAAAATTGCACTTACAGCCACGCAAGTGAAGGGCACTGAAAACTGCCCACGTGCAGAACCACCAAGCTATGCCCCCTAAAGCTGAGGCACTGTAGCCTACTTTCCTTATCATTCACATGTATAAGTTCCCTATGGAAAAAATATTTCCAAGGAATGGTTCAGGTTTTTTTTTATTAACCAACAGATCCTGGCAAAATGAGTTTGTAAACATTTACTTTTAATGCAGTGGCAAAATTAATGGCTCCATTTTCAGCTTCTGCAAAAGGCTTGTCCTTCTATTCCCTTCCTTTTCTGTCTGTCTCACTGCAAGTCAGGACTGATTGGATCCCATGGAGCTCACCTCTGTGGCTGAGAAGCGTTTGCTGCTTTATAAATAGACTGGTTTTAATATTTAAAGTGTTGGATTGGTAACTTAGAAAAAGCATTTGGGGATTTTAATGAAATATTTAAATGTTTGAAAGCAGTCCTTCAGCAAGGCTGAGTTTTAGCAGGGAGTATTTCTGGAGGCTGCCAGTCCCAGAGGTGCTGCTAAACCCTGCCAGGGGCACGTAGCCCTGGGAAGGTGCCCTACCTTGCTGTTATTTAGCTGGGCAAGGCATCTCAAAACAGAGTCCTGAAGCATAACCTTGCAGGTTGTTTTCCAGACAGATATTTTAGGACTGATCAATAGCAAGTAGAATCAGGAAAGGTGACGGTGAGTCCGATTCTCCTCCTGCAGTCATGAATACTGAATGTGGGCATATTAATAAATCAGATACAGTGGTTTGGAAGTGTTTCATAACAGGGTGCTGGGACATGACCAAACTGGAGAGAGACTGCTACTAACGAGGGTTAGATGAGCTCACTGTGGAAATATTCTCTTTCCTGTCATGCTCTTCTTCCTAGTTTCCATGTGCAGAGGACGAATGCTGATGTGACATGGCTGGAGAAGGACACACAGGGCACTGTGATGCTCCAGGGAGTGGAGCTGGGGAAGGGGCTGGAGCATCAGAAGCAGCTGAAATAGCTGGGGAAGGGGCTCAGCCTGGAGAAAAGAAGGCTCAGGAGGGACTTTCTGGCTCTGCACAACTCCCTGACAGGAGGGGACAGCCGGGGGGGTCGGGCTGTGCTCCCAGGGAACAGGGACAGGACAAGGGGAAACAGCTTCAAGTTGCACTAGCAGAGGTTTACATTGGATATTGAGAAAATTTCTTCACTGAAAGGGTGGTCAGGCACTGACACAGCTGCCTGGGGCAGTGGTGGAGCCCCCATGCCTGGGGGCCCTTGTGGACAGGGGTTAGTGGTGAACACAGTGGTGCTGTGCTGATGGCTGCACTTGGTGATCCTAAAAGTCTTTTCCACTTTAAGGGCTCTATCTGGTGCAAGTCAGAGCATGCAGAGCCAAAGCTGTCCCTGTCAGACACACCTGCCCTGTGTCTGTTGCAGGTGGTTGGGGCCCTAAGATACACTATTTTATAAATTAACATCTAAAAATATTTTTCAGGAAGCACTCTCTCTGCTTGCTTTGTTTATGGATCAGTGGAACAAGACTGACTAGGAGCATACATCCAATTATCTCCCAGCCCCAGTAAAGCTTTTGCAGGCACAATCTATGATAAATATGTAACTGTTTCAAACAGATTGCAACTTAGGAAAAAGAGACATCAGCAAGGATAAAAGAGATAAAGGGAAAAAAAAAGGAGATGGTTTATAAGCATTTCTGTTTAAAACCAGTGCAGAGCTTTGAGTCAGGTATTTCTGACAGAAGGTTGTCTTGTGGAAGGCAAAAGCAAGGACAACCATTGGGAAGCCTGGTGGGATCAAGAGAAGGAGGAAGGTGGGAGTTGTGAGGGCACCTACAGAGAGAAGATTATTGAAGTTTTCCATTTTTGGATTTGAAAGCCTGCTTCAAAAATCAGTCTTTCCTAACAGCTCCTTGCCAGTTACTCCCTGGGTGTCTCTGAATCACATCTGCCTCACTGAGTGACAAAAGCAGCTTGTTATTACAGCCAGCACAGTACAGCTCACCACGCTGGGAATGTGGGAGCTGCACTCAGTGATGTCTTGTGCAGCATCAATAATTGCCACCCAAGTGCTGATCTGAAATCCATTTTATCAGAGGATGACAAGGGATGGCCAGGGAACATATCTTGAACTCCTGGCAGCAGGCTGAGCTTGCGACCCTGGCAGTGCTGAGTCAAAATCACCCACCTGCACTGCTGCCTTCCAGAGAGATGCTGGCTAGAAAAAACCCAGGCACTGTATCCAGGGCCCACACAGCTGGGATTTTGTCAATGTTAAAATCAATCAATCAAACCAATAAGGTTATGTGTTATATAAGGGTAGTCTGTCAATATTAAAATCAATAATGTTAAAGTGAGGTTATGTATATGGCCTTATTATACATAACAACCTTATTATAATAGCAACATGGAATATCCTGAGTGGGAAGGGAGCCACCAGGGTCATCCAGTCCAGCTCCTGTCCCTGCACAGACACCCCAACAATCCCACCCTGGGTATCCCTGAGATCATTTTCCCAGCACTCCTGGAGCTCTGGTGGCCTTGGGGCTGTGACTATTCCCTGGGGAGCCTGGGCAGTGCCCAGCACCCCCTGGGGCAAATGAGATATCCAATGTTCTATTTATCAACAGACACAGAGGTGTAGGGTCAATGCCATCAGCATATCTGGGCACAGCTCAAAGCAGAAGAGTGTCAGGGAAGGAACAGGGGCTCTCTGCACACAGGGAATGCTGAGTTACTGAACTTGGCACACACAAGCACTTGAGAAAGCCCAGTGATGGGAATAATGCAGACCAGATGGACACTCAGCAGCAGAGAGGAAACCTACTGCTGAATGGCTGAGGGGAGATTTTGCTGTCATACTGGAAAAGAAGTGGTGCTGGCTTGTACACCACATGCTGAAGTCATTGGTATATTTTGGGATCACTCAGATCTGCATTTTTTAAGGCCTGCACATAATGCATATAAATCAATGCCCAGCAAAGGGAGTAAAAAGACTCTAAACGATTTTATGTCCACAATCTCATATGCCTGAACGAAGAAAGTAAGGCTGGAAAAAAGAAGAGTTGTGAATGGCCTGAACTGATAAGCCTGGAAAAACAGGGAAGAAAGGCACTGGCTGGCTATCAGCCCCCCCAGATATGGAGGAGTCAGCACTTCCAGGAAGGAAAGCAAACAGCTCCTGGTGATAGCCAGGTAACAGAGTCCACACACGGAGGAGACCTGGTGAAGATAGCTGTCACTGTGATGCAAAAGTTGAGTGACAGATGAGCTAAATTACTGAAAGAGGAACAAACAAGCAACTCTCACAAGAAAGCCTGTCCAGGACAGGTGCTGGGGCTGGACACACCTTGAGCACGGAGAGCGTCCATCTGCCCAAGACACCGGGCAGATGGAATCCCTCCCGGAGCCACCTGTGCAACCAGGAATGCAGCCAAAGCCACTTCCCTGCAGACTTGTTAAGAAATCAGATTTCTGAGAGTTGGGCACTTCCAGTAACCCCAAAGGGAGAGCTCTAGAGAACTTAAACTTCTTCAGCTGAAATATCTGTAAGGGAAAAGATGTAGGAATAAGGCTTAGAAGAATATTTGCAGTGTATAGCTCAAGCACAAGACCAAGAGTCCTGCAACAAATGTGGTTCTCCCTAGTCACCACTGCTGCTGAGTAGTGTCTACAGCATGCATGCTGTCCTGAAAAGTTTGACTATGAAAGATAAGAAAACTAGCAACAGTCCTGATCCACAGCTATGCTGGACAATCCATACATGCTTTCTGAAAGTCCAGCATGTACAAGAATGATCAGAGACCTTGCAATAATTAAGGAGTTAGACATGGACCAAGAAGATCATCATCAAGGGAAATGTGAGGTCTTCCCAGGAAATGCAGCATAAGTAGGAAAAATAAACCACTGCTGGAATTCTCTGATCAAAATCAAATTCTTCCCAACCAAGAAGCTGGAGAAAGAGCAGAGAGAAGACATTCTCCAGCTGGTAGAAAGAAACCAATGGAAAGACTCATGCAGAAATGAAAGAAAAGTGGGCAGAGAAAGGATTAGGCTGTGCAGCTGCATGGCAGTGCTGAAAATTGGCTGCACATGTAATCCCAAGACACAGAAGCTCTTAAAAGAGAGCTGACCTCAGATTAGTAGTCTGGTCTCCAGCCTCTGAAGTACATTATATGTTCCTTAGTGCCACTAAACAGATACACTGGAGCTCTGTACCTAAAATGAACCACCAGAAGAGCAGGACAGTGTGAGTCATTCTTTCTATCCGTGAATTTCTGCTGATGTTAAGGGATCTCAGTGGGCAAGAGGAGTTATGTTTAAGAAAATCACAACACACAGCAGGTTTTCCTAATTTAGCCATATCCCAGAGCTCTTAGGCAGGATTTCAGGTGTTTGCTTCCTGACCAGAAAAGCCTTTGGACTTCCCCATGAAACTCCTTCCACAAGCACAGCTGCACTGCTTATCATATTTGACTTTCCAGCAGTTTATCAGGCTCAACCCAGGTTACAGCTTTTTTTTCACCATGAACAGCCCATATAGCAACAACTTGAGGACACTTTCTGTTGACTCCAGGAAAAAAAAAAAAAAAAAAAAAAAAAGCACTATGGCTCCATAACCACCCAACCTGCAGCTGCAGAGCTCTGTCCAAGCCATAATTGTTCCTTTAGAAGCTCGAGGAATCCTCCCATAAACATCTAATTACTATTCACAGCATATGCAAAGCAGAGCTGAGTTTCTTTTGAGCAGCCCCAACAGGCTTAATTTGAAGATTTCACTGTTCTTGAGGAGACCTAATTTGCATGACTTCAGACAGGTCTCTCTGAAAGCTTGTGTGAGAGGCACTGCCTCCTTAACAACCAACCCAGAGCAGGTGAAAGGGGATGAGATTGGGCCAGACTTACATCAGCCACAGGGATGAGAGTGTCAGCAAGGTGACCAATGCGGTTCTTCCTGTACAGCCACGACATCAGCAGTATCCCCAGGGCCACATCAATCAGCAGAGACACAAAGATGTTGGCTTTCCTGCAGGCAGGGTAGAGACAAACAGAGTTAAAGGAAGGACAGTGTTTAATGTTTCAATGACAGTTGTTGGCTTCGCTTATGTAGCACCTTAAATGTCCCAGGGACACCAGGACACTGAAGAGGAACAACTTTGGAATCTTTTCACTTCCATTGGTGTGCTGCTCCTTCTGTAGCCAAGCACAGGAGAGGTTTGCTCAGCCTGGAGAAGGGAAGACTGAGGGGAGACCTCACAGCTGTTTACAGCTCTCTCCTGAGGAGCAGCTCTGATCTGTTACCAGGGACGGGACCCAAAGGAACGGCTGGAGCTGTGCCAGGGCAGGGTCAGGTTGGATATCAGAAAAGGTTCATTCCCCAGAGTGTGCTGGGCACTGCCCAGGCTCCCCAGGGAATGGGCACAGCCCCGAGGCTGCCAGAGCTCCAGGAGTGTTTGGACAGCACTGCCAGGGATGCCCAGGGTGGGATTGTTGGGGTGTCTGTGCAGGGCCAGGAGCTGGGCTGGATGATCCTTGTGGCTCCCTTCCCACTCAGGATATTCTGCATTACCATGATTCCAAAGTCAGAGCCACTCAGAGCCTGCCACCCCACAAAACCTTCCTTAGTAGGGAGCAAAGAGGGGATTGAAGCTACAAAAAGGAATGTTAAGACAGAAAGGTATATACACACTCGGGGGATTTACCAATTACCAGTAGAAAGGGCAGCAGCACTTGGCACATCCACACTGAGATCAGATGGCTTTCCCAGACAAGGCAATAAATAGTGGTTTTGGGTTCATACACAAACCCAGAAGGGCTGCTGAGCTGCCCCTTCCTCGCTAGAGTTTCTGAATGGAATTCCATGACGTGAGTTATTCAGGAATCAGACTGAACAATCATAGTTACTTTTGGCCTTCAAATCTGCTAATCTATTTTAAGTGTTCCCTGGGAGTCTATTACTGTAGGATCAGAGAACTACACAGAACAAGACTGGCTGTGGAAGAGCTGTAGGGCATCCAATATCTGTCTCAGATCTCTGCTCTGTTCCTCTCACTGTGCTGCATGTTTGCTTTTTCTCTTACACTTTGTTACTGTTCTAACAGTGTAAGTGGAGTCTCTGATCTGCAGTTTCTGCACAAAAAGCTTCCCCAAAAGAGTAGGTGAAAAAGGGGAGCATTTAAACCTTTCTGCTCTTATGGAAAGTGTCACTGAACACTGATGGATGGCTGTGGTTGACAGCAGCACATGTGAAAGCAATGAGCCTGTGGGAGTAGTGACAGCAAAGCACTCACACATGGGTGCAGCATAAGCTTTTGGGGTGCAATATCCCAGTTGCCTTTCCTGAGCTAGGGAAAAAGGCAGGTATCTGGCAAAAGGCATCATTAACACATAAAAATACAAATATATATGCATATGAATACAGTGCAGAGTAAAGATATGCAAACTAGCAGGGAATAGAGCAACATGATACGGTGCAGTGAGGACCTAGTGCTGTCCAGGCATGGGATTCATGGTTTGGGTTCCCCACAGGTGACAGGAATAGAGCCAAGACACACCTAACTTTACATGTACTCCGTACCTCATCAGCTGATTTTGGTTTTGAGCCTTCTTGTTGCTGCTGATGATCTGGAGGTGCTGCAGGCGATGCCCCAGCTGCTCACAAGTTGAGAGTTTGCTCCACAAGAAAGACAAAGGCCAAAACTTCAGCACCCTGCAGAAACACATGGGAATGTCTCCTCTTGCCTTTGCCATGCAGCAGGCAGGCCAGCATCCAACATCCATGCAAAAGAGTCAGTGTGAAGTTAAGGTTGTGCAACCTGAGCTGGTGATTAGAAGTTAATGACTCTCGGAAAGGTTAACAGAATTAAGGCAGCCTTGCCAGACCAAGACATGCAGACAACCCAAGCTCTCATTTGCACTCTGTCAAACCACATCTCACTCTTCCAAGGAAGCCACAAGGCAATCCTCATTCCAAACTCTGCTTTTGGATACATCACTGGGCTTGCACAATGCTCCAGTCTCCAGGAGAGCAGAGTCAAGTTGTTCAGTGCCACAATACAAAACAGTGTAACTGCTGCACAAACCACAGTGTTACTCATCACATGGAATGGGTTGGGTTGGAAGGGACCTTAAGGCTCATCTCATTCCACCCCCCTGCCATGGCAGGGACACCTTCCACTGTCCCAGGCTGCTCCCAGCCCTGTCCAGCCTGGCCTTGGGCACTGCCAGGGATCCAGGGGCAGCCACAGCTGCTCTGGGCACCCTGTGCCAGGGCCTGCCCACCCTCACAAGGAACAATTCCTTCCCAATATCCCTCTGGCAGTGGGAAGCCATTCCCCCTTGTCCTTTCCCTCCATCTCTTGTTCAAAGTCCCTTTGCAGTTCTTTTGGAGCCCCTTTAGGCATTGGAAGGGACTCTAAGGTCCCCCCAGAGCCTTCAACTCTCCAGGTGAACCTCTCCAGTCCCCCAGCCTGGCTCCAGAGCAGAGGTGATCACAAGTCTCTGTGTGGTATGAGCTTGGTATAACAAACAGCTGTGCCCTACATGCAGTTTATGTCCCTTCCCCTCCCTTTTATTTTTTCTTCCACTTCTTCTCTTCTTCTTTTTTTTTTTTTTATTACTTCCAAATTCTTTTTTCAGGGTCTTCACTTCTACCTTCTCTCCACTGCCTTGCAGTGACCAGTATTATGTAGATAACATTTAGCATTTAATTAGGTTTCAAAGTTAACATCCACATTAGGCCTGTTGGGGAGGAAACAGTCACAAGGTTCTTTTCTTATGACTCAGAAGAAAAGTACAAAATGATGCTCAATTATTTTGGGGAGTTACTTTTATTACCACACAACCTATAAAGCAAGGACTGTTGGTGATTTGTGCAGGCTGAAGTGACACAGTACTGGGAGCAGGTTGGTCACAGAAACCACAGCAACACAGGCCACCAGGTTTGGTTTGGGGGATAAATTGTGATGTGGACGGAATTTGGATCACTTCTCTCCTGTACACAGCAGTACACTCCACCAGCCAGTGCAGTTGTTACAGTATTTTCACAGTGTTTTACTGTTTTTTGTTACAGGTCCAGGAATCCATGGTCACTTTTAGTCACTTCATCTACTCTTCTGTGCTGCTTTGTCACGGTTTTTCAGGTTACATTAATTTCACACAATACCATTATTCCTTGAATTCTGCTTCACTCTGGAAATTGCACAGCTGCTTGGATCATTACTGAGCATGGCCTGGACATGGATGTCCCTGCAAACTGTGCGTGCCTTCCACGGATTCCACCTGCAGCATGCCAGCCCATGCCCAGCAGCACATGCCTCCATGACTGGCCAGGATGGGGTGCTCACTGCTATTTATACAATTCACACCAATCACAAGAATACAGCTCCTCCAAACCCTGCTCAGTTCCCTGGGGCTGCTGTCCCTTTCCTCCCCGCACCCTCCTGAGCCCTTTGAACCCCACTTTGTGCATCGTTTGTCAGCTGAAGGAGCCGAGTCAGTTGAAGTCCTCCTCTTCCCCCTCCCTCCCCATTCAAATTTCAGACACATTGGGTTTGAAACACACGCAGTGTACTGTGAATCATTCTTAATTTGAGGTCTCCAAGTTACTCAGCTCTGCGCTACAGCCTCCCACCTTGGAGACAAATGAATGCACTGTTCCTCAGCTGACTTGTCAGGAGGAGGGAGCTGAGGCGGTGGAGAAAAGAGCACCGTGCAGGGGAGGGAGAGGGGGTGACTGATCTGGCCACTGATCATACACACCTGGGCTCACAGATTCACCAAGACACCAGAGCAGATGAGTTTTCCCTTCCAATTACGCCCCAGCTCAGTGGTTACAAACTCTGGTGTGGCAAAACTTGACTTGAGCAGAGAATTGCACTTGAAATGTAAAGAAGGGGAAGGAGGAACGCTCTACCTGTGGGATTATGTACAGATGGCTGAAGGTGAAGAATTATGGGTCAAACACCAGCTGCCAGACCCTGTCAGCTCAGGCAGAAAGCAGCAGCTCTGGGACCTGTGCCACACTACACACTCACTGGGTGATGGTCCCATCCTCTCTCAGCAGTGGGTGTCTCTCACCATCCATGGCTGCTCCTCAAGACGGAGGCAGCCAGCCCCTGGGTCACCCCCAGTCTGACACCTCTGCCAAGAGAAAGGACAGGCTGCTGTTGTCTGCCTGAGAAATGCCTTGCACAAGTGGGAATGATTTCCAAAGCAGCCTCATCCCCAGAGCACCAAAACATTGTGCAGCAATGGTTCAGCTCGTCAACTGGACACCATGGGGCCAAAAACACATCAAAGGGATGTCCTTCTCTGTGCTACAAGTGACCCCCTTTTCACCCACCACCGCAAGCACAACCTCTATTGCACTCACATACTTTCTTTGGAAAGGAAAGAAATACACGTACTTTCTGAAATAAAAATACATACTGCAAAAAGCTCAATAGAGCAGCTGCAAGATGTGCTATGGGAACTCTCCTCTCTGTGAGGACTGAGAAGAAGGCAAAAAAATATTCCTTGCGTGGTTTCCTACCCCTTTGCACATCGACTGTGCATTGCCAGAAATACTCCCACTTGTTTACAACACAGTATATAGAACCATTTTCAGAACTTCAATGGAAAACCAACTAGATAAAAAAACCCAACAGAAATCCAGTGATGTTGTGTCATTGCATTATTTAAGCAGCAGGAGATCTTTGGGGTATTTCCAAATATATGGAATTTTTGCAATAAATTAACATAGCCTCCATGAGTAAGTCTTGATTTTCCAATTCAGTTTTTTCCCAAGAGTGAGAGGGGAATTTTCAGATATCAGATGAAAAGCAATCTTTCCAAATCTGGATCACATGCAAATATTAAGCTCCATTAACCAGAACTCATGAGTGTTTTCTTGCTCCTTGCTAGAAACTGCAGGAGCAGTGCCTCCCTTTGAATGAGGAATTGGAGGGCTTATAAACAGACTTCTTTTAAAATGAGCACATGGAATTTATTGCCTTAAGACTAAAACATCCTAACATCCCCAGGAGCAGAGACCTTCAGGGATAATGGGAATGTTGCCCCCAAGTTCCTCTGGAGCAGAATCGCAATGGCCACCCCTTAGCACATGGTGGTGCTGAAGAAATGCCTTAATTCAGGATGTGCAGGACCTGGGAACACGGGGTGAGCCTGGAGGGATGGTAGCGACTCACTCCCTGAGATTTCCAACACTGCTGCCCTGCTTCTCCTGTGCAAATACACAACAGGGGCATATCCAAAAATCCCCAAGCCTCCCCAGCCTGAGAGGACATTGCTGATCTCTTTCTTTAGCCTTTCAAAGCTGACTATCCCTTAACATCACAAAAAAACAGAAAGAAAGAAGTCCTGTGACCTGAAGGAGAAAAAACCCAGTAAATCTTATTTTATGGGATGTCCTGTCCCAGCACGGGGACGACTGCACGTGACATCTTGAACCCTCCCTGCCTTGAGTATGTTGGCATGAAGGAAGTTGTACCACACATCATGTGGTACAAAATAGAACCAAACACCTTGAAATTACTTAGAAGGTCAAGCAGGAGACTTGTTATAAAGCCAGGTACTAATCTCTGCTCTCCTAGACTGGAGTGTTAAAACACATAGGAGATAACTAAATATAAAGTCGATACTGTGGGTAAATAAAACAAGGAGAGAGAAAGCTCTGCCTCCCAAGGCTAAGGACAGGCTCAGTGTAGGTTTATGCACAGCAAGCCTTGCATTCTGCCTGCTGCCAGGTACAGCTGGCTGCTGCTCTACCTCAAAACATCCATCCCGGCCCTAGGAAAAGATGAAGTCAGAATTCCTGAGGTGCTGGGTAGCAGCTATCTGGGCCCAACCTGCCAGCTGACCTTGAGCTCCCAACTTATGTTTAGACTGCAGACTGCAACTGGATGCCAGCAAGGCTTGAGCTTAACCTGATTCTGTGCCTGGCTTGAATCCTGGCACCAGTTGAGGTGGGACCAAGTGAGACCAAGTGCCAGTGCAGAAAAGAAGAATCATCCTGTCTGGTGGTGGTGGCACACAGAGAAAAAAAGGACCTTTGGAGCTGACTCCAAATCTTCTGCCCAGCCACAAAGCTGTGACAATCACCATTAAGAACCAGTAACACACAGTATCTACACAGCAGTCCCAGGACACAGGGGTCCTTGATGATATCAGGCTTGAATCTCAATCTCTTCCAATAATTCAAAACTGGACAGTTTTTCCTTTGTGTACCAGACTGTGTAAGCCAACTGCTCAGAAAATCTTTGCATGGGAAGAGTTTCACTGTAATTCTTTTACAACTGTATCACACAATTGGAAACCTGTTCAAAACCTCCATTCCTTTAGGCTGTACTTAAAAAAGATTTATCAATGAATACAGCAGTAGCTGTTATCAAAATTTCATCAATTACACTGTCTTCTTGCAGCTTAGAACCAGAACTCCACTCTCCTCTCTGTCACAACCTCTCCAGGCAGCTGCAGTGGTGAAATCACCATCCCTGCAAGTATTCAAAGAACACGTGGCACTTGGAAACATGGGTTAGTGGTGGCCTTGGCAGTGCTGGGTTAATGGCTGGACTCGATGATCTTAGAGGGCCTTTCCAAGGTAAATGATTCCATGATTCTAAGTTTCATCCCTGCAAATCTGCTCAGAATTAGCTTTCAGTCCAAGCACTTGCTACGTGTTACATTTGGAGCATCCTATTCAAGCTCACAGTTGTGAGAACAGGATTTCACCAAGGATTCAGGCTGAGCAGCAATCCCTCTAAACTTCCATAAAGTGCTAAGGTTGCAGCACCACAGTCTCTTGGAGAGAGGATGGATTTAGAAACAGTATTTGCTGATGTTTCACAGCTGCAGAGGGACTCAGAGCAAACAGGGAGGAGTCCCCAGCAATGGAGACTAAGGAGAGCCTCACGTCATTCTGTCAGCCATAGAATAGCTGGAAATCCACTGTTTTGTTTCAGCTGTGATGAAACTGAAGCAGGGCTGAACCATCCCTGCTGCAAATGGGGAGGACATGAATGCCTCCCCAGAAAACCTCCCAGCTCCACAAAGAGCTCTGAGGGAGCCTTTGGCCTTGTGTTTTCCTGTTGGAGTTCCACTCCAACAGGATCTCTTGCAGCAGCCTATTTCCAACAGAACAATTCTGTATCACATTTCTCAGTGGGGTTTAGCAGTAATCCCGCAATGCCTAAACACAAATTACATTTCCAGGCAAAACAAGCTGGGTGATGTCACATCACCTACCTGCTCCTGCAGATCCCAGAGACCAGTGAGAGCAGGAATGTCAGCAGCATGCAGGCAGGCACAGAGGCCTGCTTCAGCAGCTCCACGATGATACTGGCCTCCACCCCATCCGACTGCCAGTGGGTCAGCTTGATGGGCCCCTCGTCGTACCTGTCTGTCATGAACAGGACCTGGCTCCTGGCCACCGTGTCAAAGATGGCCGAGAGCTTTGAGGCATCCTCTGCCCTCTGGCCAGCTGTCTCCAAAGGGGGGTGCAGATGGGAAAGCATAACCTTGCGCTGGTCATAGTACACCAAGATGATTTCTTCCTCCTGAGGGTTCTTAGACTGTTTTTGAAGGATAGAACAGCTCCAGAATTTGCTGTCTCCCTCTTTGCTTATCTGGATCCATGGCTCGTGGCAGAATATGGTCCCAAGGTCTTCCAAGAACTCACTGAGACTCTCTTCTTTCCCCTGTTTGCTATTGCTCCATGAGCCAAGCACAGAAACACTGACTTTAGTCACGCGCTGAACTTCCCCAAGGTACTGCTTCACCTGGACAGGGATAAAGGGGAAGTGTACCACAGCAAGGATGACAGCAGAGTTCTGCTCGGAGATCCAGCGGCCGATCAGAATGCCGCTGTCTGCTGAGGAGCAGCACGATGGAAAGAACACCTTCAGTACCATGGCAGCGACCCTGCAGGGATGTAAACCTGTCAATAAACACAACAATTAAACTTGAGGATGGTGATTAAACGCAAGGAAAATCTGAGCTGGCCAAAGCCACCAGAGAGGAGAATTAAGCATGTTTGAAAACACTAAGCCTAACTACATGAATAATGACATTAGTGACAGCCAACCACCATACACACATTCAGGAGGTTCCTGATGATCTGCAGTCTTTGAAGTGAGGGAAGGTGAGCCTGGAGTTTCCCAGTAAAGCCCTTCTCCCAGTCCTGGAAAGGTGTTTCATGGTGGTACACAGATAAGCACAGCTCACCAGACCAGCCAAGATCTGGCATTCACCCAGCCTTAGATCTTGGATCCACACTGGATGTGCTGGAGCACCTCCTAGAGAAGGGACTCCATCATAACCCACCGTGGTGCCTCTGGGGAGTATTTCCTGCTGCTACCAACACTCAAACACTGGTTCATGCTATTCAGTCTCTTTACCACCTTACAACCCAGAGCTCTGCAGCAAACTCACAGAGCAACCTTGATCCCATCACTCAGCTCCTCCTGCCTCACTCCTCTCATCTGGAAACTGAGACGATAATTTTGACAGAAGGGACTACAGTGATTAAGTGAAGTAGTTTTAATTCATTAGATTCAACAGCCTAAAAAATTAGAAGCACCTCTACTTTATCAGCGCTCTTTATCTTTAGTGCTTTTCTCCCCATCATTAAGAACACATCTCAATGGCCTTGGGAGACTTTTCCAGAAAGGAGCTCTGAGGCAGTTGACAGTGTCTCTTTAAATAAGGTGGAGGTTTCTAACAGGAATATAATTGGAGTAAGGAGGGCGCTGGTGCAGAACAGGCAGCATCCGGCTCCCGCTGTCCTTTCCTGTCCTTCAGTGCTTTGTTAGGGATGTGGAACTCCGCAGGCCCCCGAGGCTGCTCCTCTGCAAGGGACCAGTCAGTTGGAAAGGGAACACAGAGGGTATTTACAGCATGGAGAGGATGCGCAGCGGGAAGGGCTGGTGGCTTTTTCCTCTCCCTTAGGAGAGCTGAGCCAGTAAAGCTCAGCACCTGGGAATTTCCTAGAGCACGGAGGGATGGAGGAGCAGTTATGGGGAGTGAATAACCACTGGGGTTCATCACTCACAGTGGGGTAATCTGGGGAATTGCGGATCCCCATCCCTGGCAGTGTCCAAGGCCAGGTTGGATGGAGTTTGGAGCACCCTGGGACAGTGGAAGGTGTCCCTGCCCATGGCAGGGGGTGGAATGAGATGTTCTGTAAGGTCCTTTCCACATCAAACTGTTCTATCATTCTTCTGAGATCCTGCTTCTTCACAGACTCCAGGTCTCTGAGGTTATCCCTCTGGTCAAAGAAGGAGAAATGATGTCCCTCTGTGGCCTCCAGATCTTGCTGGGGGTTGGAGGATCTCTGGAGCAGTGAGGGCCAGTGCTGGCTGTGTTCAGGACCTGCAAACACTGTGCTTCCAGCACCACACTGCCAACAAAATCCCTCGGGACAGGGAAGCCTTGGGATGCACTTTGCAGTTTTGCAGTAAAAGGGAAAACTCAGTCCAAGGAAAAATATCAAAGACAGCCCCCTGTTTTTTCCATTGAAAAGAGGGAGAGTTGTTATGAGTATTGCTACAAGACATTCTCAGTGTCCATGCACAGCTGTCCCTAAAGGTCTGTCCATCCACTGGACATTGCAGAGAGGAACTGTCAACTGACTCTTCATACACACACTTATTTCTCACTGAGATTGTTTTTAAAGATAGCCACAATCCTCTGGAAAAACTTCTCATGGAGTAGAAATACTTGTCATCCTAATCTTGTCTAGTTTGTCAGTTTTTCCTCTTACACCTTCCCCAGCTTTTTAAATTGACATAGTTTTATGCACCCATCTCCTCTGGCTATAGCTCAGGTCAAATGATCTACCCTTTGGCTGCTTGAGACATGGCAGAGATGATTCTGATAAGACTTTCAGACTGTACAAAATATCTTGATAGTTGAAAACCCGGCTGATCAACTATTGTTATGTTAATGTTCTCATATTCCCAAATCCATGACTTGTCATGCATCTACCTTATTCATTTCAACAGACTGAAATATCAAATGTCATCACAGTCAACTGCTTCACTGCTGCTAATTTTAACAGAAAAATCTTAGCATTGTTCATGCAGTCTCTGTTCATCAAGTGCCTAAAATCACCTATTTCTGCTGAAAACATCCACCTTTCCCTGAGAGCACCAATGCAATGATCTCAGGTCACCAAAACGACAAAATAAATACCACCTAAAATGTGTTAATGAAACCAACAAATGAATACAGGACCCCAGGGCTGATTAATTCCAGAATTTTTGTTAGAAAAGCAAAGGTGAATGGTGGGATGTGGTCATGGTCTCATCCCAGAGGCTGTCCTATGGCCACAGGGTGCCAAGGGGGACTGATCCCATCGCAGACCCACACCTGAGCATCCTACCATCCTTGCAGGGGGTCAGGGCCAGGATCTAAAGAATCATAGAACTGTGGGATTGTAAAAGTTGGAATAGTCCTCTAAAACCACCAAGTCCAGTCATTCCCCCGGCACCACCACTAAACCATGCCCTCAAGTGCCACATGCACGCAGCTTTTTGAACACTTCCAGGGCTGGCATTCCACCACTGCCCCAAGCAGCCTGTGACCGTGCCTGACCATGCTTTGTGTGAGGGAATTTTCCCATCTATCCTATCTATATATAAATTAAATCTCCCCTGGCACAGCTTGAGGTCGTTTCCCCTTGTCCTGTCCCTGTTCCCTGGGAGCAGAGCCCGACCCCCCCGGCTGTCCCCTCCTGTCAGGAGTTGTGCAGAGCCACAAGGTCCCCCCTGAGCCTCCTTTTCTCCAGGCTGAGCCCCTTTCCAGCTCCCTCAGCCCCTCCTGGTGCTCCAGCCCCTTCCCAGCTCTGTTCCCTTCCCTGGACACGCTCCAGCCCCTCAGGATGGCGAGGGGCCCGGCGCTGCCCCCAGCCCGGCGAGGGCTCCCCGGTGCCCGCGCAGGCCCCGCGCCCGGCCCGGCCCGCCCCGCTCGGCGGGGCCGCCTGAGCGGCGCGATAAGGAGCGGCGGTGCCCCCCGCCCGCCCTGCCACCGCCTGCCTGGAGCGGAGCCAGGGTCTCCGCTGTGCTCACGGGACACTGTTGGCTGCATCCCCTCAGGCCAGGGGCTCACCTGGCCTCACAGGACCCCGCTGTCCTCTGTTCCCAAAATGGAGGGGCCCCGCTGTTCTCACAGGAGCCTGCTGTCACTCACCCCACAGGCCAGGCACCTTTCCATGTGGGACCCCACTGCCCTCATCCCCAAATTCCAAGGACTCAGCTTTCCTCAGGGAACCCTGCTGTTCCCCATCCCACTAGGCTGTGCTGATGGGACCCTCTTGACGCCCATCTTGAGCGCCTCAGGGGATGCCTGGCCCAGCAGAGGCCCACGGGTGCCCCAGAGCTTTGTCCTGTGATCCGGCAGTGGGCTTGGGCCAGTGAGCCTGGGAAGAGGCTGGGCAGCATGAGAAGGTCCCACATGGAAAGGGAGAGCAGGTGCAAAGTGGGGGTGGGCTAGATAAAAGGTTTGGGCTTTTAGTTTAGTTGTTGGATGCCACAGAATTGGAAATAAGATGGGGGAGATTATTTCTTGTGGGAGGGAGCTCAGTTTCCTGGGGTGGGACAGGCTGCTCCTGCAGACCGTGCAGCCCCAGTCCCTGCTTTGCTCACTCTGCAGGGAGAGGGGTCCTGGAGAGCCCCACGGGGTGTCTGCTGTGTTCAGTGCCTGTTCCAGGGCCAGGAGGGAGCAAAGCCCTCTCCAGGGATCATTTGGGATGAGAGGCAGTGACTTGGGTCTAGGACATCAGCAGAGACCGATGAGTTGTTAAGCTCTGTGCCCACACCGAGCGCTGGAGCGGGGAGAAAAGAACGCCCATCCCTGTGCCGGCACACCCTGCCCGCCTTCCCTGGCCCCTGCCGATAAAGGCAGAGGACGTGGCGCTGAGCCCTTCTCTCCAGAAGACAACAGGGCAGCTTCCACCCCAGGACGTGGGGCAGTGTGAGGAGTTCCACAATTCCATATGGAATTTACTCCATGTAGTGGTTGTTGCTTCCCTGTAGAGGTCAGGAATGCAGCACAGAACATCTTACCCTTTTCCTGAAGTCTGCTGCAGACCGAGTGTGCCGTTCTCTGATTGCAAAACGCTTCCTAATAGCCTGAGAATGAATTAGGACAGACCAGTTGGCTCAATCATGCCAGGCTGGACAGGGCTTGGAGCAACCTGATCTAGTGGAAGGTGTCCCTAGTTACGGCAGGGTGTAGATCTAGGTGATCTTTATGGACCCAATCCAAACCATTGTGTGATTCTATGATTCTGTGACAGAGGATGGACTTCTAGCATGACCTTGCCTCTCTGGTCATGCTCTGGCATCAGGAAGATGGGACCATGGCACATCAAAATCGCATGGAGAGAGGAGAAATATTTATATCAGCTTTGGAAAACACACAAGGAGTCAAGGGTGTCGTGATAACAAGTTTGCCGAGGCACCAGTGCAAGGCCAATTCTGAGTAGCTGGGTGGTCCTTTACATACTGTGATGAGTCCAGAGCTGATCTAGTTCTGGAGAAGCTGGGGGCCATCAAGCAGTCAGGTCTGGGGCAATGTCACATCCCTGGAAATGTCCAAGGCCAGGCTGGGCAGGGCTTGAAGGAACCTGGGACAGTGGAAGGTGTCTCTGAAATGGTCTTTACAGTCCTTCCCAATCCAAACCATTCAATTATTCCATTACAGGAATCTGTGAGAGCAGTGGAGCTCTCAGCACACCAGCAGATGCACAGCTCAGCGGGGCTGCAGGGGAATCACCCCCCCTCCCCACCTGTGTGTTTGGGTGGGGTCAGCATATGATGCCCCAGCGTTGGTGGGTCTGTACGGGGGCCTCACACAGTACTTAAAGACCTTGACACAGTTCTCCACTGTGTCTGCCACAAAGAGGTGCCCAGAGGAGGAGCAGGCCATGCCAGCAGGCCTCCGCAGCCCTGTGGACACCAGGCAGATGGGAGCTCCATGCTCTGGGAACAAGTGGACTGTACGGTGTTGCTCGTCTGCCACCAGGATGCTGCCATCCGTGTCCACACAGACCCCAGCAGGGTTGCCAAACTGGTGTCCATATTTGCTGCTGAGGGAGCAGAGGAGCTTACAGCTGCTCATGAAGACCTTGACATCTCCACACTCCTCACTCACCACAAAGCCTCCACTGGGCACCGGACTGACATAGCGAGGTCCCTGCAGATTTGGGACAGTGTGGACATTGAGTGTCCTGAAGGCATGGTCCAGAGCAAAGCTGTGCACTTGGCCTTGTGCATAATCTGCTACCAGGATCTTGCCCATGGAGTCTACTCCAATGCCCCTGGGGGAACCGACCGTCCTGACCTTTATCCATTCCCCCTTGGAGAGGCTGGTGTGAGGGTTGAAGACCCAGATGGCTTCATTCACCATGTCAGCTACAGCCACCATTCCCATCCTAGTCACAGTCACATCTTCGGGCAAGAAAAAGCTGCCTCCCTTGCCTGTTTGCTGGCAGGACAGGGTCTGCAGTGTGTGGCCTGTGCTGCTGAGCACGTGGACCCAGGGAGCACTCTCAGCTGTCACGTAGATGGAGCCATCCAGGGAGCAATGGATTCCACTGACACCCCCATAGCGGCTGCCAGTGGGGTTGGGAATCTGCCGCACCAAGTCATCCTGGCAATAGTGGAGGAGGTTCTTGATGTTGTCCAGATCTCCACACAGGCTTTTGGCCTTTTCTGCCAGCTGGTGGACCTGGTGCTGGGTCACCATGCCCATGCCACGATGGCTGTGCAACAGTGGGCTGGCTGACTGCAGTGTGGTAAATGACTTCAGCTGGAGGCTGTAGATGGTTTTCAGAAGCTTCTGCTTTAGCTGGCTGGTCTCCAGTGTGTAGTCCATGACAAATCTCTTGTCCCTGTTTGGGGGAAGCAGTTAGGCCCATGACTGTCCCTGCCTGCTGCCATCTCGGGGCTGTGCTATGGTGCTTGCTATCTACCCAGGGTCAAGGTGTTGGTGCTAGTCTGGCTTCACTTCATGCCAGAGAGATCATGTCACTTTATTGCCAGCTAATTATGAAATAAAGACAAACAAGGACCATGGCACAGAAATTAAAGGGTCAGCAAACTGGATGTGCAGCTGGAGGAACAAGCCAAAAAAAAAGTCCAACAGCTCCAACAGTTCAACTGGTGTCAGACATGGCCTGAAGATTTTATGTGAAAGGTGAGCCCAGTGTGTGAATTTATTGAAGGGGACCTCATACTCCCCAGTTCCTGAGATAATGACTTCTTTCAGGTCTTTAACACTTGTTACCCCTATGTTTGTGAGCCTCATCTCTCCAAACCAAGCTCAATCCGTTACAACACTTGAGTCACTTAGGGTGACCATTCCTTGACTCCCACAAGTCAGATGTCAAACGTGGCCAGTGCATGTCTTTGCTCAGGGCAGCCCCTTTCCCATCCAAATAGTTTCATAGCATCACAGAATATCCTAAGTGGGAAGGGACTCACAAGGATCATCCAGTCCAGCTGCTGGCCCTGCACAGACACCCCAACAATCCCACCCTGGGCATCCCTGGCAGCGCTGGCCAAGCACTCCTGGAGCTCTGGCAGCCTCGGGGCTGTGCCCATTCCCTGGGGAGCCTGGGCAGTGCCCAGCACCCTCGGGGAGATGACCCTTTTCTGATATCCAACCTGACCCTCCCCTGGCACAGCTCCAGCTGTTCCCTGGTCCTGTCCCTGTCACAGGGAGCAGAGATTAGCACCTACTGATCAAGTTATTTCTGAAGTAGCCAACAAACTTGTCAGAAAGAAAAGTGGAGATTCTGCTCTGAAACATACATTCAATCTTCACCATTTTTTTCAGACCAGAGAGCCACCATAAGAACCCAAATTTTAAAGCTAGGCAGCATTGGGAGCCCAGTGTTACAATGTTCTCCCCAGGCCTGGTTGGAGCATGGCTTACAACACACAGCCAGGAACTGACAAGTGAAATGTTAAGAGAAATATGACCTCATTAAAGCTCCTGGAGAGGCATAACTTTACTTTGCTTTAAATGTGATTATAATTAAAATTATAATGGGCATGCTTGACTGTTTTGAGTTGCTTGCAAGCCATCACTCCACTTTTATTGCCCCATGTCCCATGATTGCCTGGATCATGTGCCTTATGCTGCTCACAAAAGTGACCAGACCACAGCTGAAGAAAGCTAAGGCATACGGTGCCAAATGGTCCTTCTCATGTGCAAATACTGCAACTGTCTAAAAGCCATCCCTGAATAATTGCAGAGTTACCAATTGCAAATACACAGTGGTGGGGATGATGGAATACAGACGGAAATCCAATTTCTTCTGTTTTGGGGCCTGGGAACAGCTTTTTCTTCCCCATGGTGGTTATGCCTTGTGTCTCCAGCAGCAGAGACCTGCTTGGTGGAAACAAGCCCTCCATATCCCAGGACTGCTTGTCAGGGTCCTCCTTCAGAGCTGGACAGAGTCCTCAAGCCAAGAGGCTGGATTTTACAGATGGGGAAACTGAGTCACTGCCAGGGAGATGATGTGCCAGCTGCCACACACCCCTTATCAGGAGCATCCACCTCACTTCCTGGGCACTGGACACCCAAAGCTGCCATCAGACCCTTGATGGTGTGTCCTGAGCCTAGCTTGACCTGCTTGGGGTCCAAACCCAAGAAGAGGGCTCTGACACTGTCCCCCACACAGCTCAGGCTAACCACCTGTGGGTACAAGCTCAGCACCACAGATCCTGTACCTCAGTCCTGCTGTCCTGGGGGCTGTCTGTCCTTCCCTGGCCTCCCGCTGGCTCTGTCCTGCTCCCTCGCCGGGCTCAGGGCAGTGGGACCAAGGGGTGTTGTGTTGTTAGTGACGGGCGATTGCCCTGAAGTCTGGGTAAACACAAGAACTCCTTGTGCTGACAACCAGAAGCAGCAAGACAAGGGCTGTTCCATGTGGTTTTTACTCCCTGCTGGTCTCCTGCCCAGAGACAAGGTGCCTTTCTACCAGGATCAGTCTGTGTCCCGCCTGCCTGCTCCTGCCAGAGGGAGGTACCCAGCTGCCCAGGGGATTTGGGGCTTTTATGTAGAGGCAAAAAGGCTGATTTGCTGCTCCTCACCCTTGACAGCTGCTGGGGTGGGACAGGGAGGCTCACACTGTGAATCAGGGCTCCTCATGGCTTCACCACTGCCTCCCTGTGTGCCCCAGCCTGGGCACAGTGCAGCTGTGTGCCTCAGTCTCCCCTCTTACAAAAAGGACACTGGTGAATTTTGCCATGTCAGGCTTTGAGGTGCAGTGATGAAGAAGCATTTCTAGAAGAGGCAGATCAGCCAGGACTGCTGGAACAGCCCCCCTTTCCATCTCCACACTACTCAACCCAGGCTCCCCACAACTACACAAAACTATGCTTGGAGTTGATGGTGGCATTTATTAGTTCTGCCCCAACAAAGAGGGTCAGGAGTAAAAGCAGAGTTAGCAAGGAGCAGCCTGCAAGGGGCTGCTCAGAACCTGCTTTCCCTCCCTGGCAGTGATTCCTGACAGTGCTTCCTGAGAGTGCCCTCCCCACCTTTGCCCACAGTGAGATCAAACCACCCACCTTAAACCTGGCCAAGTCATGAAGAAGTTTGTGTCTGTTCATTATTCAGCTGGGCCAAATGTGAGCGAAGTTTTGGTCAGACTCAGCCACGTTTTGGGATGCTTGGAGGGGCTGCATGTGTCTCCCTTAGGACTAAGGAAGCAGATTGGGTCTGTCTGGCTGCAGGAGCTGTGGGATGGGGATCTGCCTCCAAAGTCCCAGGGCTGGCTGCTCTTCTCAGCAGGTGTTCAGGGCCCTTCTGGTCCTGGATCAATGTATCCCTGAAGCTCACCCTGCCTGCCTCAGACCTATTACCAGCCAAAATTACAAAACTAACTTGACATGACAAGCACTGGGGCCACTCCATCCGAGCCCCAGCAGGACGGGAGGCAGCTTCAAAAACCATCTCCCAGGGCAACAGGGTCTGACCTTTTGTTTTGCTGTTGTGTGCTCCATCACCAGGATAAACAAACACAGCCTGGCCCTGGGGCTCTTGTTCACCTTTCCAGGACCGTGGCTTTGTCACAACCTGTTCAGAAGCCACCCTGGACCCCAGGAGAGGTCTGTGTCATGGCAGAGCCCTGGCACAGCCCTTGCCTACGCCAGCACTGGGAGCTGCAGGGGTCAAGGACATGGCCATGGTCAGCCTGCTGCTGCCAGAGATGGACCAAGGGAAAGAGTGGTCGTGTTGAGTTCAGGCTTTCCTGGAGCACATTCCTTGCAGGTGTAAGTGGCACAATTCACCCCTTGTGGCTTCTCCTCCCCTGGCAGCAGCTCTTGTTTGTGTGTCCACAAGGAACACATGAGCCCAGTCCCTGTGCCCAGAGAGACAGGCACGGTGCCTGCCTCGCACACTAGAAGTGTGCAGGGAGCCAGTGGGAGATCCCACAGGAGGAGTCAACGTCATTGCTACCAAGTCATAGACTCGCAGGAAAACAAGCCAAACCCTTCCACTGAGAATATTCCCCACCTAGAGCACAGCTCTGTGACTGGGGAGAGTGTGGGGGGACCTGAAAATCCACCGTGTCAGTCCAGTGCCACATGTGGGGCTGCAAAAGCTTCCTGTGGCTCTGGTCCCCGCTGGACACCAGAGCGCTCCGGCCCCGAGCATGCCAGCAGTGCCCAGCCTGCTCCGCACCACCGGCAGCGGCCGAGGGCTGTGGTGGTCTGCAGGGACTGCAGGGACGATGAGGGCCCGGAGCGGGCGGGGGTCGGGCCGGACACGGGCTGGCACTGCTCTGTGCGGACAGCAGGCGGCCCCGCTGGCCCAGCAACCGCGAGTGACGGGCACTGATCGTCCAGCAGCTGGCACGCACCCTGTCTGTGCCCGTGTGTGTGTGCAAGGGAAAGTCGTGTCCCAGGACTGTGCGAGAGGTTTCTGTGGGAAGCTGGAGCATCCGCTGCACATCTACACACAGAAAACGTGATCCCCAGAGCCTCTGTCCTGGCTGCACCCCCACCCCCTGCCCCCACTGTTCATGGAATGCTTACAGTGTCCATGCCAGGACTTGGGGACACTGGGGGACACAGCTCTTGGAATCTGATCCCCCACGCAGACTGAGACTGGGCTGGGGCTTCCTAAACTTGGTTCCATGGAGGTGAGAGCAAGAATTCAGCTCCTCTTCAAGCATCACATAAATCCCTCCAGAAATGAAAGCTCTGGTCCCTAAAACTGACCTGGCCCTGTCCTCTGATCAGCATGGACAGCTCAGAATCCCTGCAGCTGGTTAGCTAACCAATGCAAAAGATTCTCCAGAATCTGATAAGGGCTCAGCTGGCACCTGAGCTTCTCCCTCTCTCCCTCCTCCTCTGCAGCCTCCCTTGCTCACAAGGCTCACAAGAGGATTAGGGAGTTAATCCTCTTTGGGACATGAAGCTCCCTGTTAAGACTGCTGGGAAGGGCCAGAAGCTGTGAAGCACAGTGGAGCACTGCCACAAAACCCCTTTCATGCCAGGAGCAGCCCTGTGGATGAATCCCTGTCCTGGTTGCAGCCTCTCCATTGCTGCCACCCCCTTCTCCACCCAGCCAGAGCACAAGGCTGTCCCCAGGGCCATGGGAGCTGGGTAATGGTCCCATCAGACTGCCTCCCTCCACCCCATCCTGGCCTCTCCTCCTGGTCTGGAAGGGGGGTGGGAGGAAAGAGAAATATTCTCCTGTCCTGGCAGGGAGCAGCATCCCAAGGCCATGCAAGAGGTGGGAAATGAACAAAAGCTTTCTGCAAACACAGCTCCATGCTCAGCCCGCTGAGGAGAGCTCTGGATGTCCAGGAGCACTGTAGACTCCCAGGGGCATGGCTATTACTGGAGCAAAGTGATGTGATGGAAACATTCCCTTATGGATGATACTGAGCCAACTTCTCTTCCACGAGGGATTGCTCCAGCCCTTCCTCTGGAGAGGAAGGGTGCAGGCTGGCACTGCTGGTGTGCCACAGGCTTGTGGCCATTGGCTACAGGTGGGCAAGGAAGCCTGTTCCTCCACTTTCCGTTCCCACTTCCCATCCAAACCACAAACTGTAAACATCCTTGGGTACCCTGCACCTAAAATCATGGAGGAAATAACAGCAGCTGGGTGCTTTTACTCCCTGAGCCCTGGATCTGGGAGAATGATTTGGGTGTTTTGGTTTTGCAGCAGCTGGGATGGGGGAGCCAGGGCTGCTCAGGCACAGTACCCAGCTGTGCTGGTGCTCCTGGGTCTTCAGGAAGCTTCTGCCTTGCAGGAATGTTTGCTCCTTCTCTCTGAACCATTCGATCCTCAGCATCTTCTCCTGCACCCCAAGGCAGCAGTGGGGAGCACTCAGCCATGGTGCCCTGGCACCACTTGGCATCTCCTGTACTGCCCAGTCCCAGTGGGCATGGCCCCTTCCAGGCAGGGAAGAGGGCAGGAAGGCACGAGCTGATCAACCAGCAGCAGCAGCAGCCGGGATCTCACCCTGCCTTAGTCTGCAAAGCCTGAGGGAAACCTCCCTGCTCAGCTTGGCTGCCTTTGGAAGCATCGGCCCTGGTGAGAGCCAGAGCACTACTCTCACCCACTCCAGCTCTTTTAAGTACTTAAACCCTCACTGCTTCCCTCCATGGGCCTTTGATCCAGCTCCAAAGCTAGAGAGGTTCTGCCCTGGGCAAATACCCAGGGAACCGATCCATTCAGAGGCATCTAGGAGCAGGGAGAGGAAATCTCCAATTGCAATAACAGATGGGAAAACCAAGCAGGGAAATTTTGTAGCCTTTTGTACTGTTTTTCCTCATGTAAAGCTGAGGAGGTGGGATAGCTACTCCTCCACACTGGTTACACGCTGTGGGGGGATGCTGAAGACAGCTGCTGCCGGAGCAGATCTGGAGCTGCAGTCTCAGGGACTGCTCTGCACTTCAGTGTTTGTGGCTGATGGGGGTTGAAGAGTTCATGTGGGTCCCAAAATACACCAGCAGTGTTCCTGTCAGAGCCAGGGGACAGTCACCAGGGCACAGTGAGATGGCTCCAGGCACAGATGCCACCACAGTAGTTATGGTGGGGAGAGTGGTGAGGAGCGGTAGTGCTGCTTCCACAATCAGCTGGGAGCAGAGGATCCAAGATAAGCCACAGGCAATGTGTGGAGTGATGATTCTGGCTGCCTGTGCTCCTCTTCCTCCCACAGAGAAGCTCCCAGGAGGACTTGCTGTTCTTCCCCAGGAGCTGCAGCCTGGGTGACAGCAGGTGGAGGCCTGGGCTGGGCTGTCCCTCTGATCCGCACTGCCCTGGCAGATCAGCCCCTGCCAGCTCTCAGCACATCTGTGCTGCTTCCCTGGTGTGCTACCAGCCCTGAGGGCAACATTTGTGCCTCGAGGGGGTCACAGCCTCCCCTGCTTGCTCCTACTGTGCTAAGGCTTCCAAGGAGGAATAATGCTGAGAAGAGGTGTGAGGAAGAGACAAAGGGAAGGGTGTTCTCCTGGCACTGTTAGTACCTTCTAGGACACTTGGAGCTCCCAAGAACAACACAAGTCCTTACTTAAGTTCATGGGGAAAATACCCCCCAATGTGCAGTCACTTGGCAGAAAGGAAACCTTCCCAGCCTTTCCTCTGGTGGGAAGTGCAAGATGGGTTGGGACACACCCTCTGGAGTGATGAGGCCCCTTTGGGGTCAATGCCTGATTTGTCTTCCCAGCCCCAGAGCTTTCTCAGCCTGGTATCTTTCTCTGCCCTTGTCTCACACTTCAAGTTGCCCTGTCACCGCTGCAAGGCTGGGTCATTGCC